ATTTGAAAATTACGATTATGAAGCTACCCTTACGGAAGGGCTCTTATTCGTTTAAAGGCCTACAAATAGGGCCCATATTGTCCTTAGTCTGGTTTTGTCATAAGTAAGTATAATATATTAAAATGAATCAAAAAGCGAAAATTTTGATATGAAGCACTATGTATACAAATAATTTTCGGTGAAATTAAAAATAAAATTTTAAAGCAAAATATTTTTAGAGTTATATATATATTTTTAAAATAAGTTTAAAAATATAAATTATTACAAAATATTTATTCTCATTTAAAACTAAATACTTGATTTATTTCATGTTAAATTATTTAAAACGTTAAATGTATAATATTGATTTATTTTGTTCAATTAAAATTATGATGTTTTATATTAACATAATTTTAAAGAGTATCATATTTATGAAAAAAATGTAATTGTCATTTTAAAACTAAACTTGCATTTGTTTTTATAATAATAGAAGATCGAATTTTATACATAATAATTACTATATGGTTATGTGCATTAGGTTTTCTCCGGTAGTGTGTATGTTTATAATAGAAGCAAACTAGTACAGTTGCGCTATTAGAATTTCAAAAGATCATGTTAGATAGTAAGTTCATGTTAAAATAATTTGTATAGTACATTGACTTCAAAAGAAAAAAAGTGTTTCATTTAATTCCTCTATACATACTAAAGTATCAGACTTTAATTTTTAATAATAAATAGGAAATAAATAAAATTTAAAAAAATGATTTAGAGTTTTCAGCTTAACAAGGGGCTAAAAATATGATGACAAATTTCACTTGCAGTAAATTTACTTCTATCCAATGACATACGATGAAGAAAAATGATTATACTCAGGTTTTAATAACATATGTGCAACTTATACTCACGAATAAACACCTTGAGTGAATAAAAAATATTATCAAAACTTAGTGACACGTGTAAAGACAAAAATAAATTATCAAGGTGTTTTAGTTTTTTAAGTCTAGTTACTCGGATAATAAAAACGAAAAAATACTACAACGTCGTGATTTATCACAAATGTATGTAAGATATAATTATAATTATAGACGAAGTTTTTGATTATAAAAGATTGTACTGTAAATATTATGTTTTCACCTTGAGTTCGAAAGTTTATGTCAACTTAAAGTACTTTTTTAAAGGAATTTTAATAAAGTGATATTACATTTAAATGATTCATTAATCTAAAAAAAAAAAGACGAGTGCATTCAATTTATTGCTTCAAAATTCCAAGGATCGTTTTTAAAGTTTAATGGAAAAAATAAAAATGGTTTTATAAAATAAAGCGTGAGCACAACTTTTAAATAGATCGAGTTGTTTCAGCAAGTATCCAGAAAATAAACATAATTATTACTTAAAAGTTTTGAATTGTTAGAAAATATATTCACAAATGATATAGAAAAATTTGAATAATCTTTATATTATCTCGTTACTTATTTAAAACATACCCTTTGTATTGAAATTAAAAAGCTTATTTCACAGTCAAATGGTTTATATGAACATCTTAAGTCCAAATTATCATTTGTAGAAGTATAACACTATACTTTATTATTTTAATAATCATTGTTGAGTCTGTACTACTCAAACTACAAAAAATGAAAGAAATATTGATACATCTACAGCATTTCTGATTACTCTTTAATGGGATTATATTATTATTTCATTAAAATCAACCTTTCTAAATAATTTATCATTTTTAATAAGATTAAATATTTATTTCATTTTTATTACTAGTATAGTAAAATTAAACGTCAAGAGTAATTAGATGTTTTATATAAATTAAATAATCAATATTTTTGACTTTATTACAGCCTACATTTATTTATTTTTTCATCGAGAATCTACATGTTTTACCCAATACAATTAAAAATATAGTTTATTGTAGATACAGTTCAAAAACATCAAACCAACATAAGTGCAATTCATAAAAATTGATATGTATTACATTTATCTTTTAATAATTTGAATTAAATAACGCAGAATAATTCTTTGTGTAAATAATCATAATAGATATTAATATAAAATCATCAACAAATAAATGGAATTTGTAGTTAATAGCTATTAGTTGCCTAGTTATGTTATGCTAATCATTCAAAGTAACACAAAAATGTACAGTTAATCATATATTTTACTTACAATTTATTTAAAATAAAAATGTAATAAATTAATAATATAACTATATACGCAATAAATAAGGCAGTAATATCTTATTTTTCAGGAGATCAAAATAAAATTTATTCTTTTATTATAATCTATATATGTTTATCAATTTTCCAAGTAGTTTAATTCCGATTTAAACTATTTTTTTTTTGATATTTTGATGATTGTTATTAAAAGAAAAATAAAATGTAAATTCCAAATATTTTATATTCTCAAAGTTGAATTTTTTGAATAACTGCCTTATTTGTTGCGAATGGTGATATTTTATTCTTTATATAGTGAAAATAAAAATAAATCTATTTTAAATATAGTCAATTTATTTATCTAATGTGAAGTCAATGTTATTTGTTATTTAAAAAAACACTTAAAGTTTTAATAATAAAAACAAACACAAATTTCTTATTAAGCGAAACAAATTTTCTAAAGAAGATACAATATTAATATTTCTAAAAACAAAATCATTACCTTTGTTATATTTTTTTTAGAATGGTAAAATAGTTAAGACTTTTTCTATTTTTATACCATTATAAAACGATCTGGATAAAGTTTTTGATCAATAAAAGTATGTGAAGTGCAAAAAAAAAAAGTAGAACGCGTAAGCTTTTTAAAATGTTTATTTTCAGTAATGTAAAAAAACATACTAGCTCTTTATTGCAATAATACTACTCTTTTGAAAAAATATTTTTATTAAGTTTTAGAAATTTATAAAGGTTTTTGATAGTAGCAATATATAAATGGATGTTATATGAGTTCTTGTTAAAAGTTATAATGATATATTTGCTATCTAAAATATAAACAAAAGAAGTTGGAATATCAGATATTGTAAATATTATAAGAAGTACGATTTTTAATTATAATTGTTTATACTTTGATGATATTTAAAAAAAGTCTTTTAAAATTGCGTATTCTTTAATAGGATAGGATTTAATAGACTCAATAAGATATCAATTTTGAGATTAAATTTTTCAAGAGTTTTAAATAAAAATATATTATATTTTCTCTACTTATTATGTTTACAATACAAATATTATGTTCCTAGCAGAAAATAAAAAAAAAAAAAAAAAATGAATCAATAAAAATCAAGTCATAAGTACATTAACGAAATTTGAACAAAATATTTGGGGAATTAATTTAATGTCTCTCCTCCTTATAAATATTTTAATATAAATTTACATGTTATTTTCACAGTTTTTTTTTTTTGGTTGTGTTAGCTACAGAATTAGGGACTAAGTTTTCTTTATAGAACGCCAAATTGCGTCTGTGCATAAGAACATTAGCATATATAATTTTTTTTTAACAAAATTTGGATTTCCATAAATTTTATATTACTTTTTACTGGAAAATAATCATTTTGATTAACAAATTATATGATTCTGCTATTACTTTTAAAGGAAGTTTGCCCAGCAGTCTTTATTCTTGCTAGGCTGCATTTAAGTATTTGGAGTGGTTAAAAATTCTATAGATTTAAATAATTTAGAAAAATATTTTTTTCTATTTTTCTCAATAATCTTAAATACTATTTTAAATTTCATAAAACTGAAAGTCGTCTAAAGAAAATTACAATAAAAAAAAAAAGTAAAACTTTTTTGTAATGTTTTTATCTATAAATTTTATCACTTTACTAAATTTAAATGAGAAAAAAATACAAAACTCAGTTTTATAATTACAGTTCAAATTATTATTAAAAATAAAAATATGAAATTATTGTAGAGTTTAAAATAGTCAATTATCTTAGAATACATAAAAGGACAAACTCTATTTACAAACACAATCATCATCCCAAAAAATAAATTGCTTTGACCATAATTTTAATATCTATAAATCTGTAACCATAGACAGTAATTAATTAAGTGCTATCAAAATTGATAAGAAAAGTTTTTCGTGTTAAATCACAATAATTATTCTACAATAATCTAAAGAACAATACAAGAATTTGATAAGAATCAATGTGTCGTACTATCAGATAAATTATACCCAAAATATAAGTTTTAATTTATAGTAAAACATTGTAATTTATTTGGGTTTATCGCTTTACCATTCAAATTAATGTTATCTTATGTGCAAATGTGCTAGAAATAAACATAAAATTAGATAGTGATAAACTTTATTTGCCTGATATGTATTTCTTTACATGATTGTTTTAATGTGTACTTATTTCATTTACATAAAAAAAGAAGTCCAAATTTATATGTGACGAATATTTAAAATTTCAAAAAGTACTTATCTAATTTAATACAACAATTAAATTAAAAAAAATATTTTAATTAAATTTAAAATTTAAAGTTCATCAAAAAAATTGCTAATACAATTCAGTAAACATTTTAAGTGTATTTGTTATTTTAATTTATTTTACGTTTAATAAGAACCAAAAAATGATTCCAAAAATGATGGAAAATGTAAAAAAGATTAAATTACTTTAACAATCAAAATGTCTTCAATGGGTACCGCCGATTAAATACCAACAGATAATGTCATAAACTTTACTCTTTGAAACACATTACTATCCGTTTTCTACAGAGTGTTATAGAAAAAAATGAATAAAATTGAAATAAATTTCCGGAAATTAAGTATGTAACAAATACATTATTACTTTATACTAAAAAAATTAGTTGTTTTTCATAGAATGTAATATGAATTTTAATTTTTTACTATATTACTTTATATTATTTGTTCAAATTGATCTAAGACAAATTTATATTTTTTAAACATTATAAAAATTAATAGGAATCAATTAATTGATCACTACAGATACTGTATTTTTAATCATTAGTATGAAAATTGTGGTATTTCAAATTCTTGCAAAATGTTTAACGATTGGTCCTTACATAAAGATTTGATAAGCATTCCGTATGCATTATCCAACCCAGTCTGAATAAAATACGCATGATAATTAATGTTATTATTGAATACTCATACAATATGCGATTAACTAGACTGTGATTATAAAAAATTTCGATCACTGTCTCACACCAAGTGCTAACCACGTCTAAGGTGGTACCAGTTCGCTCTGTATGCTGCAGCATGCTGTCTTGCTTAAAAATAACTAACTAGCAATTAATACAAAAGCATAGTACAACTATAAATGTTGCAACAAAAAAAAAAATAATAACAAATTAAATTTTATCTTTTTTTTACCATCACAGTAATAGAATAACTCTTTTATGTACAAAATTTTTTTTAATTACACATTTTTTTTGATCAATCAATTTGGTGCTGGATTATAAGTGTTTATAAATGATGGATACTGCTCGAAAGAAATCCAGCTACAGACAAATATTTGCCGCTCTAACAGGTCAGTTTAAATTAATATTATTTTTAACCGTTTGTTTATTATTAAAAAAATGATATTTTATAATGCCAAACACACAGTTCAAAGTTAAACATTTTTCTTTTACTTTAACTATTATTTATTTTGGTTTTTATTCAAACAAAGCAAACTCATCACGCTTTGTTAGTTTTACCTAACATAATCAATGATAAGTTTATATCAATAAACATTTATTGTTAATTGTCCATAAAGAATCCAGAGAAGGAATTTTTCGGTTATTTTTTAAAAAAAACATATTATATAATGAATAAAATATTAAAAATTGATTAAATATAATTATTGAGTAAAAATTTTACCTAAATTATAACAATTTATTGTGAATAAAGATTCACAATGCCTGTCTTAATTCAAGACAATCTTGACCCTCCTTAATTAAATGTTTGTTTTAAATAAATTAGTTTTTCATCTTATTGAAAAATACGTTGTGTGGAACATAACTGGTTAGTGTGTTGAAAAGAACTTCATTTAATTTAATTTAAGAACTTTACTTAATCAAATCATGTCTTTTGTTAAATTATTACTTTTAATTAATATTTTAGACAGTAATTGATAATTTTCTGGAATAAAAATTTTAAAACTAATTTATTCAATCTTTCGAAGTAGTTTTTATGATTTAATGGTTATTAGCCTCAACTTTTTTCTTTTTAATAATTACATGCGATGATTTTATCATGATCTCATGCTGTGATGCGTGTTGCAAAATCATCAAACAATTTCAAATCGGTCATTGCGATGTTATCTAAATAAATAAATAAAGACAATTAACTAATCAATTTTTAAAACTTTGGACTTTCCAGGAAAATTAACTGAAAGCGTATAATTTTCTGGTCAATGTAAATTTCAATTGTCAAAAACTAACTGGATAATAAAACTACATAAAGTTATACGGTTACTGTATTCTTTTGTTGAACATTTTTCTATTAAGGTTGTGATTATTATACAAACGTAAATTACATTCATAATATTTCGAACGTCCGTGACCGTGTACTTTAGCTGTTGTAATATAAAATAACCAAGAGAAGAATGCCGGGTCAGCACTTTACCAAAAACAATAATCACTTTTTTAATTATGATTTATGCATATTAAGACATTGAAAATGTATAAACAAAAACTATATTAGCATAAAGTAAATGCGACGCGAAATATTCTAGATCTGTTTTTTAATCTGTGAGTTATGTATAGCCCAGTAAGTTTAAGTAAGTTTAGCTCATCGCTGATAAAGTATGGTGTATCAGCAGAACAATTTTTTTACTTGCTTCTCATTGTGGATTATATTACAATGTTCAATTATTAAGTATTTAAAATATTTGGTTTCCTAATATTCGTAGAACATATGAATATTCCGTCGATTTACATAGTTTATTTTCCTATGGATTTTTAAGATTACTTGGTAATCATTAACAGCTCTTTTACTATAAGAATAATGAAATTCTAGTACTGAGAGTTATATTTCCTTCAGTGGTTTGAATGCATTAAAAGACAATTAATTAAGTATAACGAGAGATCTTAGAGAGCAGTTATAAATTTAATATATTTAATTCTCAATTCGACGAAGATTTTTTTTCTTGGACTTTCTTAATTGGATTTATGAATACATTTGTGTTAAAATTTTGTAATCTTAAATATCTGGTGTCAATTCACATTTATAATAAATATAAGTTTTTGCTATTGTTTACATTATTTCAGTGGTAAATACGATGATTTTAGTATTATTTTATGTGTTTCTATTTACTTATATAAATAAGATTTGGGGAAACATCTCTAATTGACTTTATTGAATTAATAATATTTTAATTTTAAAGTTTAGATTAGCTTAACACAATTTATACATCATGATAATTAAGAATGCAAATATGTCAGATCACGTGTTCTTTTATTACTTATTCTCCTTTTAAATTATTGGTAAAACAAATACTAGCCTATATATATATTTGAAATTTTAATCAAGAATCTAAACTCCAAAAATATAGGTCATCAAAATGTAATTCATTTATAAAAAAAATAATTTACCCATAATTATTAGAATTAAATTTTGTTATAGACTTTTACATGAAATTCATATTATAAAATTAGATATTAAAAAAATATAAAAATAAATTAAAAGGTTGGTGGCTAGATCTAAAAAAGAAAGAATAATTCCTCTAATTAATTTAAAGAGGGAATTATTACCAAAAACCATTTAATTTGCTAATTAAAAAATCTAACATTTAAAAATGTTATAATGTTTGGTCTCAAATTTTTGCGTTTTCTGGAATTCTGATCACATAAATTTGATATTTTAAAGTTAAAGTTTTATTTTTCAGTAAATTTTAAAAAGTATTAAATAACCTAAAAAGTTGTTTGACCTCGTATTTTATTTACTACATATATTACGTATCACTTAATCTAGAAATTAATTGTTTGACATTTTATTGTATTATATTATATATTATATATTAATAAAATATATATTAAAATATAAATTTTAAATCGATGAAAGGAAAAAAAATGGTCTTATTAATTTATGACACGATATTGTATATGACTGAGGTCACAATGTTAAATGAAATATTCGGCAACACATCAACATAAAAATAATAACATGTTTATTTTTATTTATGCATTGAAAGATGCTCTTTATTAGTATTTAATTTATTGGAATAGAGAAATAAATTTTTTTAGTACTTATCAAGTTATAATAAACATTGTATAATTAAAATGTTTGTTGGATAATCAAATTATTTCTGAACTTCCTCTAAAAACGTAATCAAGAGAATGCAATTGTTCATTATGTTTAGACAATTATTGTGAAGAGTATAATTTAGTTGTAAACATAGTGGATAATTGAAAAAGCCGTAGAAACTTGTTGCGAAATTTTTCTTAACTCGAATAAAACCTTTACAATCATTGTGATTGTTCAGTAGATGTATATACTTAGAAAAGGTAAAAGCTTTAAACTCTAGTACATAGATTTAATGTTTTTTTCATTGTAATCTAAGTTTATAGTAAACATTGGAGTTTTATTAAACTTGTATAACGGCTTATAAGATTTTAAGGACTAAAGCCTTTATAAAAATCATTATTTAAATGGATATAAGAATTTTACAAACAAAAAATATATTAAAAATCATGTTCATTAATTCTTTTAGAATAATTTCTCTACATAATGTTTTTATGTGAAAGCGATTTAAAAAACTTTAATTAATTTTTTTTTATTGTTTTAGCAAATCTTGTTACTTTTGCATATGGCGTTTATACTGGATGGCCTGCGACGGTTCAACCACTTCTTCAATCTTCAAATACACCTCTTGATGTAGTGCTCTCAGATGAATCAATCTCCTGGTCATGTAGTTTAGGGTATATGAGTGCTATACTTGGAACATTAATATGGGGAGTTTTAGCGGACAAATTCGGACGAAAAATCACTGGATATCTGACAATGGCACCATTTCTAGTGGGTTGGATCATCATCATGACAAGCAAATCAGAGTATTTATTATTGTTGGCTAGATTTTTGGGTGGCCTCGGTGGCAGTGGAGCGGCTATTAACAGTCCTATGTTTGTTGGAGAAATCAGCGATGAAAGTATGAACGCGATTTTGGGATCTTTATTTATACTAATGTACAACGCTGGCGTCTTGTACGTATATGTATTTGGCACGTTCATGAACTATGTGTACTTAAATATAGCTTGTCTAGCAGTATCTGTAGCGTTTATGGTAATTTGGTACTATATTCCGGAATCACCTACCTGTCTCGTAAGAAAAAATAATATTTCTGAAGCCAGAGAGTCTCTTAAATGGTTCAGAGGTACTACTAATGACAAGGAAGTAGAAACGGAACTAGAATCGCTTTCAATGCGAAGCGATCAGGTGTGCACAGCTTCAATAGGCGACTACTTGGAAACAAGTACAATTAAAGCTTTGATCATAGGTTTCATATTTCAAACTGGTACCCAATTGTGTGGTATTAACGTTATACTGATGTACGCAGTAGACATATTCAATCAGAGCGGAAGTACTCTGTCACCGGAAATGTGTACAATGTTGGTAGGATTTGTTCAGGTACTCGGATCCGTCGTAGCTTGTTTCGTCGTAACAAAAGCTGATAGAAAGTTTTTTTTGATTAGTACATACATAATAGCTGCCGTTTCTCTTTACATAATTGGCGGGTGCTTTTATGCCAAATTTTTAGACAATACTGTAAACACAGGCATTTTACCCGTACTGTGCTTGTCAATGCATGTGATTGCATTTTCTATTGGACTTGGAATGGTACCCTATATTATTTATACAGAAATTTTCTCACCAAATGTTCGGAACGTTTGCATGTCCGGATTAATGTTCTGGAATAACGTCCTGGGATTCGGCGTTATCAAAGCATATCCATATTTATTAAACAGCTTGCACATATCCGGGTGTTTCTGGTTGTTTGCCATGGCCTGCACTATAATTGTACCAATCACATACTTCTTTATACCTGAGACGAAAGACAAAACTTACGACCAGATTCATAATCAATTGCAATTATGGTTTCCCGGATTAAATGATAAAGCAAAATCTGTGACTTCGTTGTCAGTCAACAGCACCAAAGTCGTTGTTGTGGAATCTAGCGATAAAAAAGTATACATGGAAAATAACCAACAATGCTGCAGCGAACCATAAAATAAAAAATAACAATTTAGAACATATTCGTTCCTTTATCATATGGAGCTCAATATCAATCACTCTCTATANGCTGCAGCGAACCATAAAATAAAAAATAACAATTTAGAACATATTCGTTCCTTTATCATATGGAGCTCAATATCAATCACTCTTTAAAGAATTAACTTGTTTTATAATTATAATTGTATAATATAATTTTAAGTGTATATTTTTTAAAAATGTCTATTCAATGTATAGATTATATTTATTGTTTATTTTATAAGAATAATGAGTATTATTCAAATTATTAATACTTTAATACGTTTAAGTATAATGTAGTGATTGTAAGTTTTTTTATATATTTGAAATATTTACTGCTGTACAATTAATAATGTTGTTTTATATTTTGTATATTATACGATCAGCAAAAAGATCTTTATGTTTTTTTGGTGTGTGTGTTATTATGTAAATTCAATGAAAGTTTACTCTAACACATGTATAGTTCAATTTGGTTGATATATTTTAATTTTTGATAAACTAAAAACACCAAATATTTTTTATGTATACAAAAAATAATTAAATTAAAATTTTTTTTTGACGAGCATTGTACTTTTGAAACACAAGTTAACAAAAAATAATTATCTTTCCAGTGAAGTATTTGAATATAACTTTACATGTTAAATATGATGAACACTTAGAGATACGACTAAATAGTTGGTAATATTGCTAGGGTGCTAATATATATAATAGCAACTTAATCTAAATTTAAGCATTTTCAAACAGAACATTATTTTTTATATTAAACATTGTTTACACAGTCATAGAGACTATTATTATTAAATATATTAAACAATTTTTATGTATTTGTGATCCAATGATTGTTATCATCCCACCATTTGGTAAAATGACAAAATGTCTTCTGCCAACAGCAGCTGCTAGTGTAATCACACAAAAATGATAGCATTGAGTATAGATACTATCTATAATCAATGATAACAGTTATTGATATACATAGACAAAGGTCAATATTCAGTAAATTTTGTAGAGAGACTAAAATAATCTTAGGTAAAATGATCAAAGACTCTTACATATAATAAGTGTACACAATAAAATTTCAATATAAAGAAGCTATATAAAGTTTTAGAAAGATTGAGTTTCTCTAAGCTTTATTGTTCTTCTGTAATTATAGAAATTATTTTTATAATCATATCGTGTTCTTAATTTGTTTAATTCCTTCTTTAAAAGTACATCTCGCAATCAAATATTGCTAAAATAATAAAACTCCTAATTATTATAAATTACAAAGGCTAAAATATTTTTTATACAATCGTTACGAAAAGTTATGAAAAATTATGAAGACAAATGAAATATTCGACTCCAAAAAAAAAAAAAACCAAACGAATTAACATAGTTCTAAAAGAGCTCAAAAGCTTTTGAGATTTTTAAATTGTTTTGTTCTTATTTGGTTAGTTTAGCAAAAACTACTTGAAACAATAACTACCTAGTGAATATATAATGTACACATTTTTAGTTGATAAAACATTATTTTTGTTGTGATAGTTTTTTATGTTTTTTTAAGGCATTGCCAATAATTTCATTATCATGTATTGTTAAGATTTTAATGACAAATTGAAGAAAATGAAGTCATTATTACAAATACGTGATGTTTTTAAATCCCTAAAAAATGAGCAATAACAATGATACTTTTTGTAATGTTTTACAGGAATTTTTTTATCTATCTCAATTATTGTTTGACATAGAATTTTATAGTCGTGCACAGACATAATTTTTTTTAGTGTGAAAATGTAGACACACACACATACAGTGGCGTGTTTAGAGGGGGGCACAGAGCCACGTGCCCCCCCATTGACTGAGTCATGTAAATATTTTATCAAGCAATGTAATGATGTACGATATCATTAGAAAAATAGATTTTTTGGTTATCGATAATAACATGGGTTTATGAAATGTTAGTCAATATAGTTGTTTTGTGGAGCGAAATTTGACGCCTGCACAGTTGTCCCGTTAATGTTATCACCTATTTTATACATATTGTATAAAAAGAAATATTTTTATTGATATAAATGGATTCAAAACAAATATGTATAATTGTATAAAAAGTAAAGAGCTTAATACAATACTATTCAAAAAAAAAAAAATTGTGTTATTTATAAATAAATTTACTGGTCTACAAAGAATTTTCATCCGAGTCCAATATATACTTATCTAAACCCATTTTTGCGCCGATTTTAAATCTTCGCATATGGCCTAAATAATAACAAAATCCATTTAATTAATATAATAAATATTTATGTTTGATTATTAGGTTATGTATGAATAATCAATAAATATATTTTAATTAAAAATAAGTTGAAGCAGTTCAACTTTCTATAAGCATTTTTAAGTTTTGAATCAGCCCTGTATAAAGGGTAAATGGTCCGATTAAAAAAAAAAAGTATGTCCAATGAAAGAAGTATATAAATAGTATATTTTTATAAAAAAAATGGTATTACATTTTTCAAAAAGTTATAGAAATATAAAGTGATAAATGCAAAATATAAAATCGAGAATTTTAACACAAGAATAGCATACGGTAATCATTTTTACTGTGAAGACAAAATGAAGTCAAAAAATTTTTTTTTCCAGATTAAGTATATTACATTAGCTTTAATTTAAGATATATATAAAAGGGTCAGTGTTTCCGGAACACTTTAAAAAATTAAGTGGAAAAAGTTGTCATTTTGAATCCCCCTCTGTGGGCAGGTAAAAGGTCAGATTTATAAAAAAATATACAAAATGATAGGTAAATACCTATAAATCATGTATCTATAAAAAAAAAGTTATATTCATTTAGTCATTTCTAAAAAAGTTATGGCTATTTTAAGTAAAAAAAATGGAAAAAATGTCAAAAACTAGCGATTTTTTTATAGATTTACTCCATTTACGGGGAACAAGGGAAATATTTTCAACTTTTGAGGGTAATGTCTTCGACTAGATATGATTTTTGATTTTTTGGCATATTGTTCATCATAATCGGTTCAGTAATAGCTACGATTGAGTGCTGACAGACACAAAAAAAAATAACAATTAAAAAAAAATATGTAAATCAGATACTACCGCACACCAACTGGAGAGCAACGTCTTTATAAGTTATATGATACTTATTAATTAACATATTAATCAATTACTTTAAAGCAGAGGTGAATAAAAAAAAGTTAATTTTTTTTTAAATAATATATGTTTTTTATTTTAAATATAGAACAGTGTATGTAAAATAAATAATTCATGTATAAAAAATAACTAATTAATAATAATATTTTTTTAAATTTAGAGTATCAAACAATTATAGAAAAATTAATAAAATAAAATTATTCATAAGTAAATGCTATGATATATATATAACTAATCAAATTTTATGTGTGCTCTACGCATATCATCAACTGACCCTTCGACAATCAAATTTCTGTCGTCATAGTAGCGAAGTAAATTTTTCCACGTAGGGCTTTTAATCAAAACTTTAGCGTTGCCAACTAAAAAAAGACCAAACTTTGCACGCGTAAGTGCCACATTTAGCCGACGAACACAGTTCAGGAAACCTATGACGTTTCTCTCGTTCGAGCGGACACACGATATAACAATATACTCCTTTTCACGGCCTTGAAAAGCGTCCACACTACTGACTTCCACCCCTTTGTTCTTGTTCAAAATTTGTTTCAAAAGTGATCGCTGTCCTTCATATGGAGTTATAACACCAATTTGATTTGGAGTAGCTCCTTTGCTTAGGAGTTTTGCTACTAGTTGTTCAACAACTTTCGCCTCTCCATAGTTCAAAAAAGACGTACCCGATCGGGATTTTCGTTCGTTTGCATCGGACGAGTAAAATACCATCGGCACATTTGGGTTAGGCCACGTGAAATCAATCGACCCAGTTCGGTCGTTACAAGTTACGCCGTTCCTAATCATACTTTCGTACATAGTTTGTGAAGCGTACTCGCTGATTTCAGGGTGCATTCTGTATTGTACGGTTAAACGAACTGGTTGTAGGCCAGCAGCTACCAATCTCTCGAACAAAGAACGATGTNAGCAGCTACCAATCTCTCGAACAGAGAACGATGCAGACCTCCGTTTCTAGTGTCCGGACACGTAACAACCGGCCCCAACTGACAGTGGTCACCTATTAACACCACTTTTTTGGCTCCGTGGGTGATTGGAATAATGCATTCCGGCNTGGCTCCGTGGGTGATTGGAATGATGCATTCCGGTTCTAAGCCTTGAGCGCATTCATCCACGACCACCGAAGAAAAATTGATTTTTTCTAAACGGTTGTCGCCGGCGCCGGAGCAAGTTGTGCACACCACTCGACAATTCGCTAGACAGTCGATTTCCGCCATTCTTCTCAGATAATTGTAGTCCCTTCTCTCATTTGGGCTCAACTCGACACCTTGATCAATCTGGCCTTGAAGAGTTTTAAATTCTGAATGACCCGCAAGCTTTTTTATTTGTTCACTAAGATATATACTTGAAAGATCACTTTTAACCGTCTCTTTCGTCTTTTTCACAAGTCTCACGACATCGATGCCAGTTTTAGCCACGGCACTTGCCAAGTTATCAACAGCGTTGTTCGACGGTGCACAAACTAATACGGTTCCGGACTTGGACAGATTGTATACAATATTGGCACAAGTAACCGTTTTTCCAGTACCGGGAGGCCCTTGGATTAGAGAAACTGGCGAGCGTAGGGCATGCTTCACAGCAGACAGCTGTGACTCATTCAAACCAGGTAAATTGGGAGCTAATAGGTTATCTGTCAGATTCTCGTTATGTTCGAGTGAATTTTGCTGTTGACGTCCAAGCAACATTGATCTTACTTCAGGTGAAACACATTCGTACTTGTAAGAAAAAGTAGCAAGTGCCGCTTCCATGCGAGTGTAAGGGGTTTTATCAAATGACTTTTTTAAAGTTGCCAGTGTCCCAATTGGCAGGTCCATTGAACAATTTACTTCAACATCAACAACGCTGATGAACTGGTCGAAGCTTGTAATAATTCCTTTTATGGCGTTGGTCATTTTTGAACTTGAAATCCATAATTCTTCGTCAACTACAAATACATTATTTTTACTATTCATATGAAAACGTACTTTTGATTTTTTATTGTAGTTTTGAGAGCTAACGATTTTGCATTCAAACGAATGTTTTTCGCCCAGTTTTAAATTGTACGAGCATTCAGCACTTATTAATGGCTGGAAAAAATGCCCGTATTGTTTTGACGAAGAAAATTCACAGGGAATATTTGTTGGAGGGACAGTTGAATGCGGAGAACATGGCGGTGGTTGTTTATCATCTTCAGCGTTCAGTTCATTAATTTTTATGACTTTTGTTTCCGTTTTCTCAAAAAGTGTACGGTAATCAATAAGTTTCAATAGTGTTATGACAACAGCACAATACATTGCCATTGTCCTGATGAAGTCATTTTCTATAATGAAATAAATTCCACACCAAAATACGAGATGGTAAATTTTCCACATATCCTTTGACTGCATACTGGTAGCAAGCAATGTTCTTGATGTATTTAATTAAAAAAAATTTAAGCACTTAGTATGAAGCTAGAATAACGAAAAGTTTTCACGTTTATATTTAATCCAAAAAAGGTTACATTTTGAAAGTGTTCCACTCCTTTTATATGAAAAATTTTGTCATATAGTGGCCAGCAAAAAAATAAATAAGTATTCTTTTTGGCCAACATTACTTTTCAAGGAGCCAAAAAAGTGTTCTAAAATAACAACTAAGTAAAAAAAAATTTTTTGATTTATTAATTATTTATTTTACAACAAACATGCAGTTTGATCGAGGCTTTAAATAATGCAGTACTAATCTAAACTATGAATAAAACAAGCTTTTCAAATTAGAAAATATTCAATACAAAATTGATTTACAAGTCTTATGATTTATAAGTGCAATATATAAATATATAAAAAGAAATGATCTGATTTAAAAAAAAAGTATGTCAAATGAAAGAAGTATACATATAGCATTTTTTTTTCCATGATAAAGTATATAACATTAGCTTTAATTTAATATATATATAAAAGAGTCAGATTTTCCGGAACACTTTCAAAAGTTAAGCCAAAAAAGCTAATTTTTTGTGAAAAGTTGTCATTTTTAATCTCCTCTGTGGGCAGGTAAAGGGTCAGATTTACAAAAAAAATTTACCAAATGATAGGTAAAGACATCATGCTTCTATAAAAAAATTATATTGATTGAACAAATTTAAAATTTAGCGATTTTTAAATTTGTAATTTTTTTGGAGATTTCCCCCATTTACGGGGAACGAGGAAAATACGATATGTGATATTTTGACATATCGTTGAAAGAAATCAGTTCGCTGAGAGCTGAGAATAAGTGGTAACAGACACAAAAAATAGAAATCCTAACACAGGTGGATCTCGGCATAGTGGTGACGTGCAATAGTTGGATCAAGTATAATATCTGACAGTGATTAAAATCACTATCATAAAAAACTCTACGATGCAAATCTTTAGATAGTGTTAGAATGCTTACTTGCACAGTTAGAGCCACGTTTAACTGGGAACTTTGTGTGTACTAAAGAAAACACTAGCTGTACTATAAATGTTAAAACACGTGAATTTTATTCATTAAAATATTTTTTTTACTTATTATTACAAAAATATTGAAAACAATAAAAAAATTATGAGCTTTTCATAAGATGGCTGAATCTAATTCAACGGGGAACACAACTTCTTTAATACAGCCCTTAGCATACATATATAACATAAATAATCAAAACTATACTTATTATACAATATTCGAATAAAGAATTCCGAGTGTTTTTTTTTTTTTGTAAATTTGAATAAAAGTTATTTTTATGTAAAAACACAAAAAAGATTATGTAATTACACAATCTACTAAATGTTTCATATATCAAAATATTAAACATTTTATATAATTTTTTTTTTTTGTATATAATTGTTTGGATTTTATCTTTTATAGTCCAAAATTTTTACTTTAAAATTCTTTATTACTATCTTTTTAATAGTAGGTTAATTTAAAGAATATTTAACTCAGAAATTAAAACAAAGCTAATTACTCTTGCATAATATCATCAACTTCAGTAGATTATTATTATTTTTTTTTAATAAGCTTAGGGATATTTAATTTTATTCAGTCTGTATTTCTTTTACTTTTGTATGACATGTAATTGTCTTAATATACAAATAGTAAAAACAAAAAATACACATGTGTCTTTTAAATTATTTTGTAAACTCGAAAAACTTTTTTTAACTTTTATAGACGTTTTTTATTTTAAACATTCTGGACATTATAAGTATTTTAATGAGCATAATTTTTTGTTTATTTAAACACATACTTTAAATATTAATATATTTTTATTGTAGTTTGTACTTTTTAATTGTTGTCTTTTTAAAAGAAAAATCCACCTATTATTGTTTCACAAAAAAATTTAAATAGCAATAAAAATATTATTTGTTTAAAACTTTGTGTGAAGATAATTATATTGGGGACGTGATTAAACGTGACAGATAAATATTTTACAAACTCTATCACTTAGTTCTTGTGAACAAATATTTTGTGTTTCTTAAGAATATTTGTTAAAAAAATTTAAATATCTATTATATTTTTAGCTGTATTTATTTATAATACAAACACGATTTAAGATAACATCTCTTAGATATGATAGTTACCTAAAATCGTTAACACAAATAAAATTTTTTTAAACATAAGTCAATTATAACTGCCCTAAAATATACGATATTTGTTTTTATTATGATTTAAAGTTTTTCATTCATATTGTAATAAATTATTTTTCATGAAACTCTTTAAAATAATAATTAGGCAGTCAGAAAATTAGTAGGGCTTTTTTATTTTACTTTAATTAGTATTTAAATATTATTATAGACATTTTTTCAAAGTATTTTTACATTTTTTAAACAATACTATTTCAGGATTTTCTTATTTGAAACTTTTTATAATGTACCTTCAATGAAAATATCATAGAGAATATTTAATATATTCTTTTACTAAAAAATTATAAAAAGGTCACCTCGAAAACTTTTAAGTAATAGGGTCCCGCAATAATTAAAAACCACCAGCACTGAGTATAACTCGTAATTAATATATACTTTTTATAGAATAAAATAGTTACAAGTAATAATCAGTGCCAGCTCTAGATATTATAATGAAGAAATACATCTATTAAATGTTATAACAAATTGATGTGAAATAATGAAGCAGGTTGGATCCTATTTCACAATCTTTAGGAATATAAAATAACAAACTGTTTTAGTTTTTAAATACTTTTGAAAGAATAGAAAAGATTTTTATTTTACAAAATTGAAAATTTTCCTATGTTAATTCTATTCAAAATAATGTTCATACTCACTTATATTTAATATTCATTAATATAGATATTTATAATTGGCACAGGAATTCAATTAAGTATTCATAGATTTAATGAACTTTTATAAATTTTAATATTATAATCATAACAATAATAACAATGATGTTAAGGTAAAAATTAAAAAATAATTTACAGTTGGAACTATTATGTATAAAAGTTATTACCTTAGTACTATATGAACAGTAATATATTTATAGTACAAAATATAATAGAAAGATTTACTAATTTTCTAAACTCAACAAAGCAATTCGATATTGACGAGTACAAGGGTGTCTTACTAGAATATATGGTAATTTACATTTTGATTGAGCCCAGAAGTTAAAAAGCTCAAGTAATGCAAGGCTAGGTATGTAGCCCATTCCAACAAAATGAGATTCTGTAAAACTATAGTGACTATTGCTTATAAAACCTAATATTGTTCGATCACAACTATTTTTTAATTGATGTTGTTCTTCTGGAATCCACAGTTTTTTCATTTCATTTAAGTACTCCTTTACAATCTGTGAAGTTGGAGATATTTTCCGTTTATATCTGTTCAGCATGACAGTTCTTTTTTTTTTTTCCAATACTCGTTTTCTACGTAATGATCTCAATAATTTTTTATGTTCTAATCGATAAGCTTTTCGTTTTTTTTCATTCAAATCCTTATGAAGCTTTTCAACAGGACCTTTAAAAGTATAAACTCCTATGTGATCAATGTCATCTGGAGTAGGTAGACACAAATGGGAATTTGGCTTTATAACTCCTTTAAATGGTAATTTTAGTCTAACATGTATTAAACTATTTTCTACATCTAATAAAATATTTTTTACGTAGTCAATATCAAAATTTTTATTTAACTGTGGTGTACATTTTTTCAAGCTAAGAATTTGTTTTTTATTACGCAATACAAACAGATCATTGGTACTGAATTTCCATTCTTTACTGAGATAATCCCAGGCACAATGAAAGGGAGTTTTGAAACCTAGTTTAACATGGTTTATTCTCATTTGAGGAGGTAATTTAAAATATTTTTCCATTGCCGTTTGCTTCCTTTGTAATGCTTTTAACTTTCCAGTATTTGTGTCAGGATCTTCTGACTGATGTAAACATTGTTCTAAAATCATTGTATTTGTTTCTCTTAAACCACCAGGCTGACAACCATTCATGATTAATCCTAACCAGAAAGGCATTGCCCATCCAGATGGAATTATAACATCCCAACCACTACCATACCCTATAATAATAAAGGAGAAAAAGTAAAAATTTAGTAATCATATTTTTATTATTATTCATTATAATAACCTGGCCGGGAATCTGCTAAACATCGCCCTGGTCGTTGTATTAAAAGTATAGGAATAACAGATATAGTATGTTCTTCTAAAGTTATTTTATCATTGTTTGTTACAATATATTTACTACGTATTTCATTCAATTTATTATTTGGTAATTTGTTAGCAGTAGTTTGGTTTCTAACTTGAGAATTCCAAATTTTAGAGACGCTTGCTTCTGGAGGGAGATTTATGCTACAGTCATCTGGGAGCAAAAAATCTGTAAAAATAAAAACATATAAATAAACATTTTAATATTGAGATACTTATTTATTTTCAATAGAAACCACACCACATATTTTTAAGTAAAAAAATTGCCCAAAGTATATGAAATTGAGTTTTGATTTAATATATATTTTTAAATTTTAAGAAATTTTTATAAAATATTTAAATTTTTTATGTACATTTTTGCTGAACATTGTACACCTGAATAATTTTCTCAAATTCAATAAAAATAATAAACTGAAAATTAATTTTTTGATATTTTTTCTATACATAAAGGAATTATGAATATTATTCCAGTGAACCCAATTAAAATATACAACTATTTTATTTCATTATATCTGTTGATAATTATTAAAAGTGAAATAGTAGTAACTTAATAGATGAGTGTTTATCAAGAATTATAGGTAATTCAAATACAAAACAACTCATTTATTAGTATACTTTAAGATAATAATATCTGGTGCAGCCACTTTATAAATATTTAACCTTTTGATGTAGGCATAGCCTTTTTTCTTTTTTCTGGAAAAACAAGTCTTGGATCAATTGTATTCATTCCAATAACGCAATTAGAAGGATATGATTCTGGTCTATCTGCACCACTGAATGTTTTCCATAGATCTTTTTGTATATTAACTGAATTTTTGAAACTTGTTTTATGTGTAGTCCACCATTCTTCTTCATTATTTTTTGAATTAAAAATAGAAGCAGGATATAATAAGCAACTCAATACACTATTCGATAAAGGGCCAGTTAATCGAATTCTATTTAAAGTATCTTTTAATAAAGTCATTTTTAAATTTCCATTGATAAAAAATGGAGTTTGTAAAAAAGGCATAGTTGTAAATGGAATTTTACTAGGTTCAGTAAGTTTTACTTTTTTTATGAAAGGTGGTTTTAATTCATTAAAATCTATGTCTTGTTTTAAATTAAATGTTATTTGTAGTTCATCTGCTAATTGTTTATAAATTGAAGGATCAGTCCAAATCCATAAAGATCTACTTTCTTGTAAAATGTTGGTATCCCAAATAAATGTTACTCTACCAACTGCTTCATATGGATAAGAATTTTTTTTGTACATAAATATTGAGCCTTCTCTGGTGCCACTAAGGTAGCATTTAGCTTTGAAAGTATGACCACAATCTTGATGAACATGGTGCATTAATCCATTTATTATTATTTGTACAGGTCCACTCAATTCTATACAGTTCATATAAGATAAATCCTATAATATAATCACAAGTTAAATAAATTTCTAGTAAAATTATCAAAGTTATTTACTTGAGCTAAACAATGATCTCCTATGGCTCTAAAACAAGCACGATAAGTTTTATCATGTGAACATTTAGGTAATTTATATCCATCTTTAACAATCATATGAAAACGTTTGGCAAACCATACATGAGTTTCTAACCAACGACCATTTTTTTGACGTCGAATAAAATCTAATCTTCGATTTTTTGGTTTTTTTCTATAATCTTTTCGTCTTCTAGTATGTTTATTTATTTGTTTATCAATCTAAAAACAAAATTTATTGAATGAAAAATCAATCATATCAATTTTAATTACAACTATTATCATTAATCTTCAATTGACAAATTATTTTATATAATATCTTTAAGATAAGATATGATACAATTTAAATAGGTTAATTTATTTAACTGTTAATATTATATGTAATTATAAAATAAGATAAAATCTTAAGAAGCCCATCAAAAAGTTTATGTTTTTATATTTTAAGAATACTTAAATATTTACAGATTTTTTATGAGCTGATCTTAATTCTTTTGGCATTCTTTTAACTGTGGTGCTCATTACTCTACGTCGCATTTTTTTTGGTAAACGTTGAAACACCATGACATTACTTTTTTTTGGAACATCTAGATACAAAAATATTATTACTCATATAAAGTTTGTTAAAAATGTGATTTCCTTTAATAAAACTTTTCAATGAATTTTAAATGATAAATTAACTTACAAAACACTACTTAATTTTACTATAAATGGTATTTCATATAGCTATTATTAGATTGTATTAGTATAAACTTTTGGAATTCTAAATATAGAAGTTAATTCTATAATTGAATTATAGTATATAATGTTTAATAAAAATCTTAGATTAGGATCTAGAATATTAAAAAAGATTTTTTCACCAAGGTCGTTCAGGTAATAAAAAAATAAATATTACTAATTGAATCAAATTTGTTAAAATTAAGAGACAAATTTTAAATTACTTTTTTTCCCCTAAATATCCTCATATGGAGGCAATTATTAGGTATAGGACATTTTTTTAAAAATAAAGGATACCATTAATTTCAAAAAGAAAAAAATAATATTATGTTTTATATTTTTAAAGATATTGCATGAGTCATATTAAACAATAGCCGTCTGTTGAAAAAAAATCACTCTCGAATATCCCAGGTTCTCATAAGTATGTATAAACACCAATAAAAAATATATACAATAACTTATGATTCTAAGTAAAAAACGAGTAATATTTTCATTAAACTTACTTATTTCGTTTAATAAAGATTGTATTTCATCATTTCGAGCCGAAATAAATGAGGAAACATCAATTTTACTTGAAGGTTTGGAATGGTTATTATCCTCCCCTAATATATCATGAAAGTGGTCCATTATAATATAAGAATAGAGCAGATATGTATAAAATATATGATTAAATCATATAAAAAAATAATAAGGTTTTTTATGAAAAAGTATATCCAAAATTCCAATTGTTTTCAAATTAAATTTGAGTTTTTGATTATATAAATATGGGCACATGGCCTTCATTCTTTTAAATTGATAACATATCTAATAATAAAATTCATGGAGTAATAAATTATAACACTAGTTTTCTCCATAGTCCGTAAACTTATCAATTTTGATATCGTCATCAATTACATAAAAAGTCGGCATTGCTTGAATTATGTATATCAACAAAATATCACTCTTAAGCTTTAATTAAGTTTCCGAAAGTAAGACTTTCTATAATAATCAATTTTTTTTGTTGTTAAACCATTATAAAACAGAATACAAACAAGTAAGTCGAATATTCTTAGTGAAATAATTTTAATAAAACAGAATCAAATCTTAACTTATTAGATGAAAGTATAATATTATTATTATCCTTTCAATCAATAAATATATCAACAGTATATTATATTTTTACCTAAATGATTTAAGTTTAATATAAAGTTTTATTCTCATTACATGATAATGTGTATAGTTACTGAAATAATAAATGTCTTTTAGCCATAAATTATATTGTGTAAGTTTTTATTGAATAATAACTTTAAGATTTGAAAATAGAATTTGAAATTGAAATGTACAATTATGGGGTATTAAGTAAATTTTTTAAATTAAGTTGATTTTATATCAAACAATGCAAACTAATATTAAGACGTCTAAATAAAAGTTTGATAAAATTTTGAATTAAATATCCATACTATTATTAAAAAATTAAGAATTAATACTATTTATTAACTTATAATTTGATAAGTAGTTATAAATATAAGTGCTTATTATTTTGAAGATATGCATAATTTATCATTTGATAAGTAATAAGTATCCTGACTGACTATATTTCATGTATTATAGGATGATTACTGATGTACAATTGGCTGTATTTGCGAATGTGTTAGGAGTTGGTTTATTCTTATTAGTTGTTCTATACCACTATGTTACTGCAAATTTTCCATCAAAATCATGTAAGTTACAAAAAAACTTGAATTTCTCAGAATAAAAAGAATTTTCATTAATGAATTTTTTTTATTTTCACCATGAGTTATCATTAAAAGCTTTCTCGATTAATTCTAATTTAGTAAAGTATCAAGATATTATGGTTATATTTTACTAATATTAATACTTCTACTTTCAATGTAGATAATATGATAAACTTTAATTCAGTTTTTTAATATTTGGTAATCAAATAATGGTAATTTAATAAACAGCTCATATTGTACAATTATTTGGGTGATAGTAATGTGTGCCTCTTTATGCCTATAAAAATGTATTTTACGCCACAGTAAACCCTACTGTATATGTAATTTGCGGCAGATTTTATGTATATAGAAATTAAGTAAATATTTTAATAAAATATAATCATAATAAAATGTATTAAAATCGAATTAAAGTAATTTTATTTTTTATTAAAAGTCTACACTTATGTAAAAATATAAATTGTATGCACACATGATAAAATATTATCGTACTAACAGTTGATATTGATGGTTAATTAAATAGATATCATTCTAAAAAAATTATTTTAAAATAGTATGGCACCAATTACAGATCGTATAAATTAGTTTTTTTAAGCGATGAAAATTTTATTTGCTTGATTATTTTGATAGTTTGTTGATTTAATCAATTATTTTCAGAAAGATAAATGAAATGGCAATGAAATTTGGCAAAACAAATAGAAAATATGATGGTATTGTATAAATTATAAAATACTACAATATAATAATTTATCCAAATTAAATGTAATAAGTTCTTATATATATTTATAAACCATACCTTAAAATGGAAAGAAAAATTTGTGTAAAATGTTGATCAATTTTATTTTTTTTTTTTACAATCGTTCCATATTAAAAATATATTTATAGGATATTTATTAAAAATTATTTTACATTAATTATATTATACTTTTTAAGTAATGGCGTAATAAATATATATTACATATGATTTTAAAGCTTGTTTTTATTCTTTGTTATTTTTAAGTTATACATATATAATAAATATATTCAATATATACAAAATTCAAAGGAATTTATGCTAACCGTTTTAAAAAAAATAATTATAATTCTGTATGCTTATTCATAGTAGGAAAATTAAATTATATAAATATACTCTATGAAAAAAATGTATTGATTAAAATATGCCTATCTTATTTTTATTTCAAAATGTCTTCTGTACATAAATTGTAATGATTATTAAATATTTTTGCTATTGTAATTGATCAAAATACACAATGTTTTCATAAATTACTGTCAAAAAAATATTTCCAATATAATTAAATTACTAAAAGTCTTTGCCTCTTTTGAAAATGAGTGCTTTGCAACTTGCTTTTTTACATAAAAGTTTAATTTTTTTTTTTTTATATAGTTTGATAATAAATTCAAGAATTAAACATTTTTTTTAAATGTGTTTAAAATTATAAAAAAAATTCTCTTATAAATATTATATGAAAATAATCTTATTAAAATATTCTCATATTCTTGGGAATAAAGTTAAACATTAATACTTTATTAAGATATTTCAAAAGTAAAAATGAACAAAAAAGGTGTTTAAATGTTTGAATTTAATTATTTATTATTTAATTTATTTGAAATAATAACCTATTTTTAATAAGTTAACCTTTTTAATTTAAATTTTGAAAATGTTCTGTAAATATTACGACCTTTAAACATATGTTAAATTAAAGTTAAATTACTTACTATAAATTAAAAAAACATTTATCTCGACAACATGTTTTTTATATATTATCAAAAAAATATTATTTTGGTAAAGTCACCTTTTTTTCATATGTTAATACTTGTTTATAGAGAAGTGATAGACAAAATGTAATTGAAAATTTTAAATCGCCTAAGAATGGGTTAGAAAAATATATTTTGGCCTCTAATGAAAATTCCTTGTAGACCAGTGTATTTATTCATAAGTAACAAAAAAATTTTTTTTTGAAAAGTATTGCATCAAGCCCTTTTCTTTTTATACTAGATTGTAATAAAAGTAACGAAATAAACTACTTAGTTATTTTTTTAGGTTTCTGAATAAAAATTATGATATTAAATTACTGATTATTAATTTCATAATAAATTTAACTATTATGATAAGTATTTATTCACATATTATACTTATAAAATAATGAACTAATCAGGATATAATTAAGGAAATAGGAGTTATTATTGTTTTTGGAATAATCCACCAATTTTTTAAAATCTATCTACAAATTTGTAGCGAAGCTTTTCCTATTTACAGTGATCTTAATTACTGTCAGAGATCATTTATAATTGTTCCAACTATGTCACGTCAACGCTGTGCTACTGTTTTAAAATCTGTTTTTAGTTGTTTTCTCACTTTTTAAGAATTCATTGATTACTATTTTATAATTATCTTATTGTGTATTTTAAATTTTATAATAATTTTGTCTTATTCTAATCCCAACAAAAACACTCCACCAAACTTAATGTAAAAACACTAGTATACAGGGTTCATCCCAAAAGTAATAAACCTCATCTTTTTCTGATGCGACTAAATAATCCAGCACGCTATGACCGGTCAGGAAGAGTGGGGGGAACCCTAACGAACTACTGTAGATCGGGCGCATTTCGCTCTGAGCTCTGGAAACGACAGGACGTGAGTTCCCCCGAAGGAAGTTTCTAAGCGTCGTCATGGAAAAAACGATTGAAAAATGTTACGCAATCAAGTTGTTTTCGGCTGGGAAAAACCGCTACTGAGACAATCTCAATACTTCAGATGACTTTCCCAGATTATTGTCTGTCCAGTTTTCAAATTAAGAAGTAGCACAAGGCATTCAAGGAGGGAAGAGAGGACTTCGCCGACGAATCATGGTCAGGGCGCTCGTTAACTTCGCGGACAGACGCCAATGTGGAACTTGTACGCAATTGCTTGAACACCAACCGTCGGCTCAGTGTATACTAAGTGTCAGAAGCCTTAAACTTGCCAAAATCAACAGTACATCACATAATGACTGAGGCAATGGCTATGCGCAAGGTGTGCACCAAACTTGTACCCCGAAAATTGACTGACGAACAAAAAGCGATTCGAGTGCTCCGATCCCAAGAATTCCTTAACTTGTGTGAAGACGATCCAAAGTTCATGGACCACGTGATCACTGTTGACAATACGTGGTATTTTGAGTATGACCCTGAATTGAAGTGACAAAGTTCTGAGTGGCACACGTCCTCGTCACCACGCCCCAAAAAGGCGCGCATGAGGAAGTCGAAAACAAAGACCATGCTCATTGTCTTCTTTTGGGTGCAGGGCATCGTGCACCACGAGTTTGTCCCACCAGGACAGACTGTGAATGCAGTGTTCTACAAGGCTGTGTTGGGAGACTAAGGCTTAGGAGCCTGCGGAGGGAGAGGAAGTGGCCGATTCAGGAAGGCTGGAGGCTCCATCACGACAATGCGCCCTCTCACACCGCGTTCATCGAAACGAATTCCTGGCCAAAAAGCACATCACCGTGGTTCCCCAGCCTTCTTACAATCCCGATCTGTCTCCCCCGGACTTCTTTTTATTTCCAAAAATGAAAACAGCCCTTAAAGGACATCACTGGCAGTCCATTGAAGACATCCAAGCAGCCGTGACGAAGATCCTGACAGATACCTTCCAGGGAGCGTTGGAGGCATGGAAAAACCCCCTCCAGCGATGTATTGTCGCGGGAGGAGAGTATTTCGAAGAATATTGATGGCTTGTAGCGTTGTAACCAATAAATTCTGAACAAAGGCTCATTACTTTTGGGATGAACTCTGTAATAAAAAGATAAAAATAGTTTTGAAAGTTGTAATATCATTTTATAACTATAGGTATCATTTATGTAAAAAATTACTTATTAGATTTAACTTGACTTGGTGACTTCAATTAACAGTATGTATTTTTCTTAAATTTGTTCGTATCATTCTATCAATCATTATAGTAGGGATAATCCTCATCTATGTACACAAATGAATTTTATTATTGTCATACTTTTTTATTGGTAGTTAATCATTTTTATCAAATACAGAATGAAATTAGTATAATATTTTTTAATTTTTATTTGAAATCATCAAGCTAAGTTAAATCATAATAAGTAAATTTGTACACAAATGAAACCGATAGTTTAAAAACTAAGATTTAATAATATATCACAACTATTAGAGAAGATTTATTTTTTATACGCTAAAGTTTGTCGTAGTGTTAAAGTTGGAATATCCCATTTTTTCTTTATTGTTGTTATTATAACGTTTAGGTTTAGGTTAGTACATGTTATAATGTAATAAATTGTTATGCAATAAAAAAATTATTCATAAAATAATACAATACTAATATTAAATGCAGAGTCCGTTCAACAAGAAATAAGGTGCCCGGTGTTCGGATATGGCCAATAGTGCGACAGAAACAGATATTCAGGACGCCAGTCCGACTGCCGCCGACCTAAACGCGAGTCGTCATTCACACAGATGTCACATACTATTAGTCAGATACGTTGTATTGAAAGTGGTACGAGTGTTTTTAGTCGATCATCTAGACGTGATTAATGGCGATGCGTCTGATATGACTAAATTTTTTTTTCTCTAAAAATTACTAAAATAATTGCTGGCTATAACTTTGCTTATATTGCTCAAAACTGTTTGGAAATCTACATAAAATTTCCTAATATAATATAATGTTTTCGAGTAGTTTATTCCTACTACAATTTTATAGGTTTCTTAACAACATTTTTTCGTAAATTCTGAAATTTCCTATAATTACAACCGACCTGTTGTGCATTGTGTTGCCTGTACTGTCTATTTAAGGGTCTTCCTTTTATATTCTATGCATTGGATTTAAAAATAGTAAATCCCATAGTTCAGTTATATCCTCATAGGTTTGTTAACTAAGTTCCTCTTATTACCTTTTTTGAGCTTTATTCATATATTGCGTTTATATTAAACAATTATTTTCTCGCTGTTATACAAAGATTTTTTTCTAATTTTATACTTCTAAATAATACGTAGTTAGTTTTGGTAAGACTTCATAAAATTTTATATTAAGCGTTAAACATTTTAAATCAATAATATTTTTGTCAAGTCCGTGTATATTTTACTTTTGTCGATCAATTAAAATATTTATCAAAACTAAAGACCAAAGAACAACTTGGAAATATTCTGGCTGGCACTTATAATAAATTTAATCATAAATCTAAATGATTGTAATTTATAAATTTAAATGTATAAATAGTTAAGGAAATGATAAAAATTCCTGAGAAAATATACACATATTAATTATTTTTTTATTAAATTAACTTTATTTTAAAATATATAAATGGATTCCAATTTTTGTTTCATACTAAATAAATACAAATTCTAACCAAAATAATGTATAATTGAGCAGTGGCCTAGTCAAGATATTTACTCGGGGGCTAAAGCTCTTTTATTTCGTTTTTTAGTTTATCATACGAACTTACTTAGCGTTAAAGTCTTCTCTAAATAATAACAATCAATCAATAGGTAGGGCTATATTCCTTATTGCACCCCCCCAGGGTATGTCACTGTATTAGTAGATTAATGGTAGAATATTTAATAAGTTTTTCAATTTTACATTATTTCTACAAAAATAAACAACAAAATGATTCTTGCAGGTCAGCAATCTCATCCGACACTGTTTGTCGGATGAGATTTTAGTACCAGGAACACATGAGAATTATCGACAGGTAATGCCATTAATAGTACCATTTTATTAAATAATGTTGATGGTAAGGTCGCACTTGGTGTCTCAGGGCTCCTAGGCAGTTACCGAATTTTTAGTAGACGTTTAGTAGCTGACGCATTTAAATGTTTCCTAGATAGCTGCGTCATTTGTCCAGGTCAAAATACAGTTCTAATTAGTAACTACATCAAAATCGCTAGCGAAACATAGAGCACATTTTCAAGACACCTAGACATATGATCGCTTATTAGTTCTCATAAATTCCTGGTACTATATTTTGATAATGTCGCAAAATACACTAACGTCGTTCTAAAATATTACTTTATGTAATCTCGTTGCGCAATACCTCATGAATTCCTGGTACACAATTTTATTCTTTTCATTAAACTCGAGGGACATGAGCAGTGCTTATTTTGTTGGTAACATTGAGCCGATCCTGTTTTTTGTATTTAACGATTACATTTATTAAAGATATTATTATTATTATAAATAATCCCAAATACAATAGTATTTATCTATTAAAAACATTTAAGTGGTGTGTTCTTCTTCCGCAGAATTTTTACTTTGTCGAAGGTATTCTATATATTTTTTTCGTTCTTTGGCTAATGTTTGGTCGGTAAGGTCATTGCAAGCCATCGAAGCGCGTAATTTGGCTGTCATTAGTCCGAGATCCTAAAAATTAACATGATTTTGTATCAATAGGAGCCCAAAACTGATCTATGTGCACTTTTCAAATTATAATAAAGTCTAGCTAAACGATGATCCCTAATTCTTACATTATAATTATAATTTTTACAGTCTAATCTATTGAATTATCTAAGGATTAATTATAACTATTTTTTTTACTCATTGAGAAATTTACCAGTGTCCCGATGCTATTATGAAAATATTATATAAAAACATTCATACACAATACATAGTCAGTTAAAAAACTATTTGTTAAAAGCGACACTACCTATATAGTGTTGTAGACGACGCTTTGTTAATTCCATATAATATATTATATTAAGCAATATTATTGTTTTCATTTAGTGATAACATAATTTTATAGCGTGTTATCAATGATTAAACTTTGTGCTGTAAACGACATTAATTTAGTGTATAAAAAAATGCGTTGTATGCGCCAAAATACTAAATTATAAAATAGGATTGCTATTTAATTGAGTGAGTAGTAAGCTACGTTACAATTGATGTGTTAAGCACCATTATTTTTTTTTTAACTTGCCAAGAAACCAATACAAACACTAAAAATCAAAAACTAATATATACTAACACGTATTTATAATTACGTGTTATATTAATCTATAAAATCTATACTATTTTAAAATTTAAAAAAAAGACGAAACTATTTTCTGGCTTTTCTAAAAAGTATGAATATTATCGCTTACAACAAATAACCTTATAACCGACGATATTATTTTGTCCAGTTATTGTTTAAAACAATACTAAATTAGTTATCAAAATATTGTTCTACACGCTAATTGAATATACTTAATTTCATGTGAATTACCTTAAGAAATGTTGCGTTTCTATTACTGGCGTTCTTTTTTTGTTTTTCTAAAAGATCCCGTTTTATTTTAAAAAAATCGTCTTTCACCACAGAATTTAATGTTTTTTTTTTCCTAATAAGCCTATAGTAAAAAAAAATTGTAATTTTCGACTTTAGCTTTAGATGAATAATGCAATTAAAACATTTTTGTGCATATTGACACGAGCAAATTTGAATTTTTTAAGGACGCAGAATTATCAATGTAAATCGTTTAAAATACCAACTAAAAATTTGTTTAGTTTTTATAATCAAAACTTTTTTGTGCAATTAATAATCTTACGTCATTATACTCACAATTCTTTTATCTCATTTTCTAATTGAGTCTCTCGGTCTACATAGCCACTTAAAATTTGTCTTGCGATGTCTTTTACTGACATTATTTGACTGTTCAAAGTTTAAAACATGAACGATTACTATAAAAACGTTACACATAACACACAAGCTCTACACATAATGACGTATCTATTGTTTAGATTGAAATTGCCATGGTAACACAATGGTTTACTAGCCAACCGCTTACTTGTTCTTCAACCATTGGAAATAAGCAAACTATTGCAAGGGTAACGGCATATGGTTACAATCAAGCTGATAAAGACTTCAACAATAGATTTGTTCTTAACAATAACATAATAAATGTTTTCAAAATAACTATATTGTTTTACATTTTATTTTACAAAATAACTTAAATATTTTCTTATATATATATTTTCATTATAATACTCGACCTAACCATATGTCTTATACGTGTATTCATTAAATTTTCCTTAAAAAGAAAAATATCTTTAAACCCAAAGTAGATAAACAGTAGTATAAATTAATTTTCGATTTTATTACAACCGGCTAAATTATCTGTTCTCTTTTTGTATAATATACTACATAATATGAAATAAATATTATAATTACATATATATATATATATCTTTATAATGTTTTTATTGTCTTATGATTAGAGTTAACATAAAACCATGTATTTTTATAGTGAAGTAAAACTTTGATAGAAATATATGACAGCAATGAGTCATTTGAATTCTTAACTATAATTCAGTTTTCCATTCATAAATTTCAATCAAATTTTACGATAGTGCGGAGAATTGTGAACCCCTGTTTAATTTCTATAAATTATTAAGTTATTCGTTAAAATAATTTATATCTTAACATTCAATATACCAACTATATCAAAATTATAACTCGGGTAATAATGTCTTGCGAATTTTTTCTTTTAACTTAAAAGTACAAAAATATATTCGTATATTAATTATTGTTAGTTGGAAGTGGTCATTTATTTTAATTTTATTTTATCTGATACTCGATTGAGATAATAATAGGCTTAATGCAATTTGATGTTAAATAATTATGTTTCGCGTTATCAAAAACTAATTCCCATGCTGTTAAGAGGTATTAACTAAGTCTAATACCGGAACAGATATAAGGGGGAAGTCCGATACCGATAAGAAAACAATATGCATTGTCAAAAACTTGATGATCGTAAACTTGGTAGCAGCCGTTGCAGTTATGTAGCCAATGTCCATAAACCATGAAACGTTTTGTGGGGTTATCATGTTTCCCACAATGCACTTAAGTAGCTAACGTCTATATAAGTAGCCCTGATAAGAAAAAAATTTGCCTCAAAATGTAATAAAATTGCCACTATATACGGTTCCTTAATAATCCAACGACAGATACTTAAAATTTTTAGTGTAACGAGTAATATCATCATTATCATTATTATAACATACAGCTGTAGTAAGCGTAAAAGACTATAAACATAAAAGTATCTCAATAATAGAGAACATGAAGACACAATTCAAAATTCAGGGTATAGTATGATGCATTGGCCATTCTAATTACTGATAAGTTCTAGTATAGAGTAGTGTTTGCCACTTTTGTGGTTTTTGGATGGGTGACCACGCGCAAATTTCAAGTGCACTGTTCTGTTAACTACTGCAATTAGATTTTTTTAATATGCACGAAACTAGTATTAAATTTGAAGATTGTATTAACTTTTTTGTACTGCACGCAAAGAAATGTGTCCGTTGTGAGCTTCGGTAACTATGGATATAATAACTATCATAAAAACAATAATAATATCACTTCTTTATTTTGAAATCTACTTGAAGCGATAAAATAATATTAGTTTTATTTAATATTATAGTACATTCAACAATAGAGATAAGAAGCACATGGTGCAGTAGAGCGGAAAGTATGTAACGTAAAATATAAGTTTGTATTATGAATTCATTAAGCAATAATAATCATAAGAAATATTTGATATTTTAATAAAATGGAACATTTTCTAGGATTAATTTATTTTGTAAAATATGTAAGTTTAAATTCAAAAAGATCATTTTCGTGTTAAAGGTTATGTTAATAGAGGAATAATTAATATCGGAGAATGAAAGAATGATGTTAATTAAAAAGTACATATAAATTGTAGTTACATTAAGTACTATAAAAAAAAAAAACAGCTAAAAATTAATTTTTGGTAAAATAATTCCTTTGGAATATCAAAAAGTTTGTAGTGAAATAAATTGAAATTATTAAAATATAAGAATTTTTTTTTTTACTCTTTAATTATAATTTTAAGGAAAAAAATTAAAATTGAAAAAAAAAATCCAAAAGCACGTAAAAAAAAAATTAAATTAAATGTGTTGTGTTTAACGATCCTCATGACTCGAGCCGAACGAACAAATTGATTTTCGAATAATGAACAAATTTGTCCTCTAGGCTCAAGGTATCAGGTCGTCAAGAACTTGGTGTTGAAAGTGCCAAGTCGACAAGTAAAAACTTACCTTAGGATATTGCGAACTTAAGGCTTCTTGTCTTTTCGGTCTGTTCCGTACGACAATTAAATTACGAATGTAGTACAACAAAAAATGATCGTATTGCTACCGTTTCACACATTCGGGAACACACAACACTTGTTTCAATACCTCCGCGAACCCCTTCCACTGAACTTATACTCAAAAACCGTTCAGACCAAGTACACGTATCACAATTATATTAGATACCAAATATTAAAAAAAAAAACCTAAAAAAGGTGTTTCTTTCCACTTCCACGGCAAATACTGCTCAACCATATAATATTGTTCGTATTTGTTTTACATGTCATATGCGATGATATTATTAATTGTTTTGCCACTGGTACAGTCAATATGGTTTTTTTGAAGAAAACCGTTTATTTTAAGAAAAATTAAAAATCTAGAAGTTCTTGTAGAAAAAATACCTCAAATTTTAGAAAATTTTTAAGTGGAATCAAAAACTCCAATCTGTACACGATTAAAATTATCTGATAATATTATTGATTTTATGAATTCTGAGGTCTTGGGATTTCATTACTATATTTATTTATATTATATTATGCGTTATACATAAATATTATGTATATATATTTATACAGAGTGATTCGTTCATTATGTACAAGTTAATTAGTCGAAAAATAAAAATAATATTGAGAATTATTTTTTTGATTTCTTTTAGGTACATATTTTTTTTAGTTTATCAACCATAAAGTTTTATTGTTTTTTATACCATTTTTTATGTTCATTTCTTAGACTTATAAGGGTGTCAACTTTATTTTTTCAGTGGTAACACACTTAATTAACTAGTTTATTTAATAGATAATGATTCGATAAAAAAATGACTGGTCGATAACAGCTTTTGGACCAGTATTTCGGAAGTTATTAATATTGTATAGTGATGGTAGGGGAGGTATGATACGAGTGTTATTTTTATCACTAATCATTTCCCGGCCGTTTTATTTCTCCCGCCCAGGTATAATATATTATATTACTATTATTATATATTTATATTCGTTTAGATCATTTTGCCAAAGAAATGTATTTTTATTAAAATCTATAACAAGCAAAAATTGTTTTTATAAATATGATGTAACTTAACGCCTTTTTTGCATAGATTTCGATGTATAACTCCTCTTAAAATAAGATTTTTTTCGTCTTTTTTTACAATTTTTTCTAGGGTATGCCACCCTAGTCTTTATCTTCAATGATAGACCTCGACCACTTCACACATACTAGTCATTTTTTAAACTTAATATTTAAAAATGAAATATTAATAAATATCATTTCATTACTATCAATTCATCGTAAAATGTTCAAATTTTTCTGACCTATTTGGCTTTAAAATCCTTCATTCACTCGTGACTATATTTCTAAAATTCCCTATATTCAATTATATTTACACCAGTGACTGTGCTAAAAGATGAGCCAGTTCGAAACCATCTTCTTGTTCTGGAGATTAAAAAATCATTCATATATGAATTGATAAACTTTTGAATTAGTCGTAGTATTGACTCAATTTAATATTTTTTATGAAATAGACCCACACGCCTAGCGCTGCCACTGATTTACGTACAAATTTTTACAAATAATTAAAAGTGAAATTATTTTTGATCTATGCATATTCAAGTTAATGGGTCATAGGGATGTTTTTTTTTTAATAACATCATTTAAAATTTAATTATTGTTATGTTAATTAATACTTTTTTGTAATTAATATTTTTGCAGGATGTTTTTAATGGATCATTGAATACGTTATAAAATTATAGTATTTTATTGAATCTAATATCTTTTTAATATTAATCATGATAAAATTAATAAACATATAATCAAAATTTGATTTTAATTAAAAAAAACGTTGCCATTATATTTTAAAATATGCTTAAAGTAGAATTTTTAGTAATAATATAAATTATAAGGTTATTTCCAATATTTTGGGCAACAATAAATTTCAGATTTTTTGTAATTTTAATAATGTATAAAATGTGACGTACATTTTTTTAGATTATTTGTTTTATGTTTTCCAACAAAAAATTTAAATTTGCCAGCTCTTTATAAAAATAGTTTAAGTAACAAGTAACAAGAATATTAATCATTATAATAATCATGATTCGTCATTTTATTTAAACTTTTTTTACAATCTTCCTATTATAACACATATGCTTTACTATTGTATATTTAGCATAATCAACTCATTCGTTATTTACAATTAAAGGTTTCTTTTAGGTACTCTTATGTAATGACCAGGGGGCAAATTTCTTAGTAGATTATCATACACAACTAAAAAATTGAAACCTATAGTGTATGAATTGGTTGATTTGAGTTTTTTCAATACAGTTTCGGTTTTACTAAAAATTACTTATTTTTATTAAAAGATTGTTTAAGAATTGCGATCCAAAATTTCTGCTTATATTAATACTCGAATATAAAAATAAAATTATCAATGAACTAACAACTACACACTTAAGTTGAATCAGATTTAAACCGAATTTAATGAAAACTTAAAATTTAAAAAGTTTTATTTTTTTATCGACGGTTAGATATTTTTCCAATTTAAATTATGCAAACAAACATTTCAAAGATTTTTTTTGTTTTTGGCTTTGTTTTCTTCAAAATGGTATACAATTCCAACTCTCTCATAATAATATTTTTGTGTAGAAACATTAATAAATAATAATTATGTTTATTCAAAAATAGAAAAAATCGTCATTGACTCATCTTTCATTCTTTTTTGATTTCCCTCGGTTTTTAAAGTCATTAACATAAAATAAAAATTTGTTTTCTTTAAATTTGCTGCACAGATTGTATGGGTTAAAATTATATTTATTTATTTGAAAATAAGTCATTTCAGAATACTTCACTGTAGTATTGACCACTAACGAACTTGATTAGGAAAATTAGTACAATAATTCTAGTGTATCTAATATATCAATATTATTGTATTCTGGCTTATACAATATTGATATTAAAAATATATATAATTATGTNTTCAGAATACTTCACTGTAGTATTGACCACTAACGAACTTGATTAGGAAAATTAGTACAATAATTCTAGTGTATCTAATATATCAATATTATTGTATTCTGGCTTATACAATATTGATATTAAAAATATATATTTTAATAGAATTTTAAAAAACCATTATTGAAGTAACATTTCAACAATATCTAACCGACTAAATATATTTGAAGCCACCAACTATTACTAAGAATGTAAAATTTAAACCAATAGTTAGGTCAATCAAAAATTCACACTCAGGTTTAAGTTATAAATAATAATACCTCATAGTTTAGAAAAATTATTTTTTTTGTGTTTATCAAATTTAAAAAACAATACATTTTTAATATATTAATATATTGAGCGGCGTGCAATAACACGACTACGAACTGTACCCACCCGCACTACACATCCACTCAATGTATTAAAATACTTATAACTCAATAAGTGCTTATTCTAAAGCTGTTATAGACTTATAAAATTTTATTGTAAAAAATGTTGAATAGTACTATTATTAAATTTCGAAAAAAAAAATTTTTTTTGTTATTAGAGACAATTAATAAAATGTATGCTTTTAACGTAGTTCAAATCTGTAAAAAATATTTAAATAAAAAAGTAACGCAGGTTTTTGCTGAATCAAAAGTTATTAGAGATACTTATAACATGGTAAGATACCCTGTATAACATATACCACATACCTAACGAATATTACTCTATAATTTTTTGCAAAACAATGTTTTGTATATTGTAGTAATTTAAAACTTATTTTTAATAAAAAAAATTTTTTTAAGATTTTTAAATAATTTATAGCCAAGTATATAAGTTGTAAGTTTATAACAATTAAATTTAATATTTATTTACGTTTACACTGAACTTAATGGGTGGATTGTGCCAATAGTAATCAAGAATAAATACAAGAATTAAAAAATTACGTGTGTTTAGATGTTTGTTTTAACTGGTGTTAGACAAAAATATTTTCGCCTTTATCCACATTAACGACAGTGTTTTGCTAAAACAGATGAACTAAGCAATAAAATTATTTACTTTATGTAGTAAAGAATTATATTGCAAAGTTGAAAATATGTATGAAAATGATATTGGCCTTCACCATAAATGAAAAAACTAGAAATATCTTCAAAAAAACATTATGTTATTCCGAATAATGTTAGCTTTATAATTTCTTAGACGTTTTTGTTTTTCATGGTGATTTCTATGCGAGAAAGAGTGATAAATCGATTGAATTCTATTGACCATTTTCTCTCTTTGATAAACATTGTTTAAGCCAACTTTTAACTGTATTTACGTCATCAATTATATAAATTTGCCTCACTCTAAGATAATTTTCGTAATTTAAATATTTTATCACTTTATTTAGGTAGAAATGACAAAATTTTTTTGTCTGAAAAATTCTTTCACTAAATCTTAAGTCATATAATAATATAAACATTAATTGATTTATTTGCATCAATACAATAATAATTAACTTATTATTTATAAATAACAAATAAATATTCATGGCATATATGTAATACTAATACTATAGATTACAAGAATTAAATGAGGCTCTTTATTCATTAAAATTTCATAATTTATATGATTTAACAAAGAATTTTGGGGGCCCTAAATCCTGAAGTATGTAGGTCATGTTGCAACTACTTCCTTTATCGGGACTTGACTATAGAAAGGCGTTATAAAACTTTAGATTGTAAACGTTGCAAATTTTGAAACAAACTTGTTAAAGTTGGTAGCACTAAATTTGGTTGGTATTATCTTATATCAATCTAATATCTCCATAATATTAATTAAATTAATTTTTTTATTTTAAAGCTTATTGTTACATTTATATTTCAGACAATATTCGTTTGAATATCATTTATTTCAAAGAGTTCATGTTATTTTTATAGTACAAATAATGTATGCGTATAAATTTATTGAACGCCCGTTTTGTATATTACATATATTTTATACAAATATGCAATATTCTAGATAAATTATTTATGTAGTTAGTAACTCAATATAAGTATATACATTAGCTACTGATTAAAAAAAACCCTATTTTAGATAAATAACTCATAGTTTTTTCGAATTCCTTAAAATAAAAAATTTCATGGGCAAACTTAAGTAATAATTTACTTCTTACATAAAATGATATTGAATTTTAATAAAATTATTTTGATTCATTTTAAGACTTAAAAATATATGAATACATTATTTGATTTTAAATATTTTTATCTGAGTAACATTCAAATGGGAAAATAGGTATTTTTGTTACAGACAAGCGCGACGAATAAAATTTTTTTTCCCTAATTTTAGTACTCTAATTTATAAATATCAAATATTAACAGTGATAAAAAAAAAAAATGTTAATAAAATTGTTAATGTTTAAACTATATTTTCCATTGATATAGCAATGACTTAGTAGTATGTATAAGCGAAAAAAATTGAAAAGTCTATTGAAACAAAATNAAAATTGTTAATGTTTAAACTATATTTTCCATTGATATAGCAATGACTTAGTAGTATGTATAAGCGAAAAAAATTGAAAAGTCAAAAAGGTTTGATGAACCATACGGTCAATTGTTGACCTATTGAATTGTAACGTTTTAAGTCGATACGTTAATTATTTTTGTTTTACTGGAGATCTGCTAGAAAAATAATGAACTTAAAAATTATAATATTTTATCATTATTTGTGTTTTTTCATCTATGTAAAAAATGTACAGGTTGAACGCGGCGGTGCGGTGAAAATGACGGTTTATACAAGTGGTGCCATCACCATCACGAGTTTATACAAGTGTATTTCAAAATGGACTATTGTTGCTTCGTTTGTCAACCTTTGTTTTCTACCATATTTTATGTTTCGTCTCTTTCACTCCTTTTATCATTATTATTGGTCTAAATTTTTCACTCTTATATTATCACTAGCAAGCTTTCATACCGTTAAACGTTTTTATGTGATACAAACGTTCCGCATGTGTGAACTGAATATCATAATGTAATGAAAACCGCAATTAAATATTTCCTATTTTCAGAATTGCACTTAATATGCGAATTATGTTAAAATTTGCCTAATGTTGAGTAAAATTCAATGTAGAATTTTGTACCTAAATTACCATTTAATATATATTGTTTACCTATAATTTAGTCAAATATGTTTGGTCGCTTTTGAGTACAAAATATTATTTATCTTTTATAAATCGAATATGGTTAAAGAGAAACCAGTAGAGTTCATAGGAAATCCTGAGAAAATTTAGCTCTGAAATTATTTAAACATTTAGACGTTTCTATTTATTTTGAAAGTGATTCAGGCCGATTGATTCTACATTAAATTTTACTGAATTGTTTGGATAGGTGCTATAACTTTCATTGATTTGTTACAGTATGAAAAATATAAGTATCTACTATCATTTTCAGAGTTCAATATACCTAAATGTATCTATAAATATTTTTTCTCTTCCGGTAATGAATGGTTCTATTTACGCCAGTCGTAGAACTTTTTTGTTTCAACTCTTTTTTAAATTGGAATCTTATTGTGTCATTTTATGGAAGTGTTTAATTAAAATTTATGATTATTAGGTATAAAATAAGTACTTCATAGTGAATAGTACTCTAAATAGCTAATCCAGTAAATAAAAACACACCACATGTCTTGTCAATGATAATAGGTAAAACAACATATCGCGTTAGAGATAATTAGCATCAGTAACATGTGATAAACAACAAATAACCTAAAACTAACTTATAATCTCTAAGCAAGTCTTGATTTAAAATTGTAAATGAATCGAAATGAAGCTTAACATTAAAAAAAAAACTTACGTGGATGATATAGTAGCCGTACTAATTTTAGCATCCTCAAAATCTAGGATCTTCTCTGTATTATAAAAAATTTACACATAGTACATACAGTTTTTACTTTTATGAGTGTATGATTAATGGTATTGTATAGCATTTTAGTAATTAAAATATACGGGAAAATAAGGAATGTGAGGCTTTAACTTCTTAGCTTATAAAACCTAAGATATATTAGGTTGCTATTGAAATCTTCTAGAATAAATAAATAGCTTAAGCTCTCCACTATTTGCCATAAAGTATGTATAAATGAACGGGAAAAGTTGGAAAAACCAAAAAAATTAGTTATCACAAAAACTATTCGAAATAAGTAGGTAAACTGTAGTAGTTTAAAATAGCCGACAACAAAGGATATCAATCACTAAGCATTTATTTCAGTAGTTCAAAATTAACTTAGTAAAAAATGGTACAATGAAAGAAATGAGGAATATTATATTCTATTTTCTTGAGTAATTAAATCTTATCCATACGCATGAGTCATCAACAAAGCATAAAATATATCTTTTCAACCCAAACTGTTTTAAAATCAAATTAAAACATATTTTGTAATTTTATATTGGGTACATTTTTTATTTAAATATTAAATCTCCATCTTAAATTCCATTTTTTATCATAACGTATTATTTTTACATACATCGAATAATAAAAATCATATTTTAATCCTTGTATAATTTATTTGAAAAATTATAATAATTCGATTACATATAAATTTGGTACAATCAATTATATTTATTTTTTGTTTATGGAAAATGAAATATTTTTATTTTGCTTAAATTTAATACAGTAGGCATAACTTAATTCAAAACGAATCAAATATGCAAATACATGGACATTTAAATAGTGGACTAGTTTCAAAATGAAAGGATTTACTTGTTACATATAATCAGAATAATTTATACAACTTTTTCTAGTACGTTTTAGTGCATAACTCAATATAACATACATAAAATTTAATTTGAAAACAATTTTTCGTTAAACATGTTAAAACAACTGCTAAAATAATAAAATGCTAAGAATTGAAACAGCTGTAAAAAATATAGCATTATTATTTGTTCAACAAGACACGTGTCGTTAACTATGTTCTTAAAGACAGTAAAACAATATAAATAACTAAAAAAAAATCTTAGAGCATATGATATTTGCACGCATTTAAATCATGAACAAGCTTAGTAAAATTTATTAAATAGTTCAAAGTACACATATATAAATTATAAAATTTTTTCTTAACAAAATGAATAATTATTATTTTGTTACCGGGCTCTAAAAAATAAAATTTATCACATATATTTGTAAAAAAAAATGTTTAACTTGACGATTAAAACTAAGTAAACACATTTTATTTTTTGTTGCTATAAATATATACTGTAATTTGAAGTTAGAACGATTTGAATTATAACGCCGTATTTTTAAAGTAATGCAGACGTAATAACAAAAAAGTAAAATTGATTATATGTTACATTAAATAAGGGGACATAATCATATAAATTAAATTTATTTTAATACATTTTACGATTTTATACTTATGAATAAAAACATGTAATATACAGAGTTAATCTTTAAAATTAGACGGCAGTTAATATAAGCTAGTATTTAATCAGAGTCTGAGATTTCCTCATCGAGAAAGTCCATGGATTTTGAACTGCAGCTAAATTAATAATAATTAAATATTTATCAATTTGTAGGCAAATTATTTGAATATCAATAAAATTTTTTTATAAATATTTGTAGTATGAATAAATTAATATGTGGTTGTAATGTAAAAGTATTCTAATCACCTCTTTGTAATTGATGCTAATCGACAAACAGACGGTAAAGCTTCTCTTTTTTTTGTTTCTTCTTCAAGCGAAGAAAGAGCCATACAAAATGTTGATCCTATTTCTTTTAGTTGCATTATTCCAAAATGATATCCCTACAAAAATAAATTAGAAAATATTTTAACTTAAATTTAAATAGTTCATTTAAAATTAAAACCAAAAATAAAACCTTGTACAAGCCCTCACTGCAACCACAGTAACTGGTTTCTAGAGTGTAACTTCGTTTTACTCCATAGGATCGCCACACAGTAATTCTGGCAGTGGTTTCACGATTCCTTTCTACTTTGTATTTACATTGTGATAGTGAAAATGCTGGTCCGCAATTTTGCATCAAAATTGGCAGTATCTTAAATTCAAAATACACATTTATTATATTATTTTAGTAGCTTGAAACAGATTTTTAATTTGTGAGATTTGTTTCTGAAAAAAAACTATCTAAACTGTAATATTCCACCTAATCTTAACATATACCTCAGTATCAAATTATTAAGATATTAATAATAATAAATTACATAAAAAACACATTATAAAATATAGTTATTTATTTATTAATTTTTTTAAAAAGAAATTTAATACCAAAAACATCAACTTACCATGAAATCTGTTTCGTTTTCATTCTTTGCCAAGTCCATTCTTGACCAACTCTTTTTTGACGAACACCCGTAAAAGAAACAATTTTTTCGATTGGAATGACCATGAAAATCACAAAACACATATGGAGTAGTTTTCAATATATTTGCCATATATTCAAGTATTCCCTTTAATTATTAATCATATAATTAGGATTTTTATTTTATTTTTAAGGTTAATAGAAAAGTGAATAATTCTGTAAAAGTTGTAGAAGGACATAACTAAGCTTTTAATTTTTTATACAAAATAATATAATTTAGTAATACAAATAATAATAATAACATTATTAAAATTATCGTGAATTTATTAAAAATTGTGAAAATGAATTTGGTTAATATTATAAAAATTTTTGAATACATTTTCACTGTGTTTATAGTCACATTAAAATTTTATTTATAAAATTTGTTTACTTTTATTTTATATTAAAGGTCTACAATCAAAATTCATGCTTAAAACTAAGAATTGCAATTTTAAATGTAAAAGTTTTAATGTGCATTTTTTAATTTCTCAATAGAAAAATTTTAGATAAAAATTATTATTATTACTTTTTGTAATAGGTTTTTAAAATTATTAAATAATTCGACCGTAATTAGAAATTTAAGTAGCCATAATTAAAAAGATATGTATACATTTAAAGAATTATAAAGAAATGTACTAAATGGAGAAGCCATAGAAATGTTCACATTTAAGAAGCCACAAAAATGCGTACATTTTGATGAAACCATAAAAATGCACAAAATTTAAGAAGCCATAAAAATACATAAAATATAAGAAGTCATAGAAATGCATATAATTAAGAAGCCATAGAAAATTACACATTTTGAAGAAACCATAGAAATGCATTACATTTAAGAAGCCATAGGAATGCGTACATTTTAATGAAACCATAAAAATGCACAAAATTAAGAAGCCATAGAAATAAATTAAATTAAATTTAAGATACCATAGAAATGTATAAAATTTAAGAAACCGTAGAAATGCATTAAAATTAAGAAGCCATAGATATCTTTAAAATATAAGTAGTCATGAAATACTGTGTGTAATTACATAATGTAAAATCCATTAACTGATATTTTTATTGAGTTTCTAGATACCCACTGTTTTTAATTATTTTTTAATTTAATCATAGAATTTTAAAAAGTATAGTAAAAAATAAGCCTTGTTACAGATATTATACAAGTTTATAATCAATTACATGAATTCACACAAAAATTTAATCTATAAACAATAAATACAATTGAAATGTCATTTACCCCGGAGGGGATAAATCATATTTCGATTGTTGGTCATTGTATAATTTAAAAATATTAAATCATTTTAGGATACGTACTCTTGCGTGGAAAATTTCTGGGTGCAATTTTAGGTCGGGGGCGTTCCATTTTCTGTTTAAATCTTCGTTGGTCAAACCGCAACGATGGCTATAACATATAAATGAAATAAAACTATCTCGGTTATAAAAGTTTTTTTCTCATTTTCTTTTGTATTTTTTCGCATATATGGCGCCGCACATTCGATCAAAATATAGATTAACATTTACCAGGATAATATTTCACTATAAAGCAATATCATACGGCACCACCTACTGATCCTTTTAACCGGATCGAGATACCTGCGTCTCAAGGATACAAATTTTCGCATCAAAGGAGTTTAAACCCGCCAGGAGTCGAACAAACCAACATTATTTATTTTACAACAACTAAGAGCAAAAAAATTATACATTATAATAATATGTGTATTCGTTTCTATTGAAATATATCAGATGCCGAACACGTTTTTATGTTAAACTCGAGTCCGCTCTGTCTATCGTTTCCCTGCGGTGGACAAAACATTCTACCCTGAAAATAACAATGACGTTATAAATCTCTGACTGATGTAACCTCTGCCGGCAGAAGTCATTTTTGCATTGTTAATTAATATTGGAAATCATGCGGACAATAATGGTGGTGTAGTCTGAGTGTTTGTTTCCGGTGAAGATTGTCGAATCAGTAAAAAATAATATACCATTGTCAGAATTCCTAGAAAAATACTAATTGAAGTAATATCTTATTAAAAAAAATTAATCTCCATAAATTAAATATTTTTCAACACAGAAGCTAATAAATAATTTATTTTAACTAATGTGTTCATAAACTACGTGCCAAAAACTGTTTGATTCTTTTTAATGGCAAAATATGAAATTAAAAATGTTTAATATACAGCTATAGTAAAATTGTTAGAAATGTATTTATTATTTACGAATACAAATTTTTTACACTTTTTTACTGGTGTTTTTTTGACATAAAAACAGAATTCTCAATTTAATTAATCAAATAATAACTGCGAAGGATTTCTAGCATACGGTGAGAATCGCAATTATAATATTCTGTCACTGTGGTTGCCAAGAAAGTTTTTTAAGCAGGATACAATGAATTTTATTTACATTAACACATTCATTAGCTATCAAATACTTGCACGTTGAATACTTTTAACTTAATAGCGCAGAGTCAGAGCCCTTTTGCAATCGCCATAATCATTAAGTATTACATTTATTATGAGAAAACTACAAAACATATTTATTTGCCTACACTAAAGAAAAATAATTTTTTTAATATTGTACATTTTTATTCTAATACTAGGATTATATTTTTGCTGTCTTCAGGAAAAGCTACTTGAAATAATAAATCATTCAGCGTGAGTAGTATTATGCAATTCGTAAGTCTCTACAAGTCAAACTTGTTAACAACGTCAACACACGATGGACAGTTTTACAAAAAGACCATCCCAAAAGCAATTAACGAAATATGAAATTATTTTAAGGTTAATAGAAAAGAAATTAATAAAACAATTTCGTGTGGCGTTGATAAAGTGTAAATCTCAACTTTTGGTTGTTTAGACTTTCATAGAGCAACATTAGCATAATAACTCATAGGTTATGACAGAGCTAATGTTAAGATAAAAAAACATGTTAGAATTCTAACGACACCCCAAGGGTTTTTATCACGTTATCATGTCGTATACTATTATCGTCAATTTGTTACGGACACGGAAATCTAAAGCCATATGCTTTATCACTGAGGATTTTTATTTATTACCATTATGAATGTTTATTATTTTTAATCTCATTACTAATCACACAATAAACGAGATTCGATGAGAATGATGGTACGGAGATTCTCATTAACCTGAGCCACAGGCACATATTTAAAAGTACCTTGAACCTTATGTCTACGTTTGGTAGTAAATAAGCGTGATGCTAATATGATTTAATAACCAATGTGCATCTTCTCATTATTAATTATTGTCTTGTCATATTACGTGGTGTTATTAATTTACTGTTTCCATAGATTAAAAAAAACACTTTTAAACGTTTTGGGTAGTATTTTTATCCGTTTTATCATCTTTACCGATTTCAAAAGATAATTATGTGTGTTATCAAAAATCTTCAAATTAATATCCACATAAGTTCTTATATCAGTTATTAATTGATTATTTAGTGTTTATTACATTGGGCAAATAAACGACCGCTAGATTTTTAATTATGTATAATTTAAATGCATTGCCAATTTACACACATTATTTGATTTCGTACAACATACGAAAATTGGCAGAACGATTTTGTTTAGACACGAATACTTTTCAAGTTAAAATTAAAGTTATTTATACTAATAGCTATTAAACGAATTCAAATATATAAATGTTTAATTTAAAATTCATTATTAGGTTAATATTTAATTCTACTTATGTTTAAACTTTTCTTTTTTATAATTAGTTTGTATTTTATTATGTATGTAGGTAGGTAGAATTAACGTTAGTAAAAAGGAATAACTTGACAATTGAAAATAAATTATCTTCAAAAATATCTCATCTGACTCAACGTTTGTTTTTTTCTGAAAGGTTTCATCTAATGTAACTTAGTTTCGGGGTAAGCAAAGAACACCGACGCGTTTCTATTGTTTCCTTGGACGTATATAAAATTATAAACGCATTTTAACAGTCCGTTACAATAAGCGTGTGCAAGAGAACTGTGGACGTTTCCGGTAATATATCCTTAGACACACACCGGACGCCATTGTCACAGGTTCAGGGTTTCCTAAAACGGCCGTTAAAGTCACTGGAAATTCGATGTACTCGAGTAGGATAAGCNGACGCCATTGTCACAGGTTCAGGGTTTCCTAAAACGGCCGTTAAAGTCACTGGAAATTCTATGTACTCGAGTAGGATAAGCAAAAAAAGTTTCTAACCACCTGGTACATATTTCCGGTGAATGAATTCACAAAACGACAGCTACCTTTCTGCACATCCGATTTCGTATGTGACTTTTATAAAATATCTACAAGAAAATAAATAATTGGCTGCAATTGTATCTCATACAGTGACTCGACGTAACGAATATCACCGTACTTATAATACAACACAAAATTATGGTTCCAACTAAAATATACTCACGTTCGCCGGGTTAACCCAGGAGCCAATGTTTTCTGAGACCAGTCCAAGGACGAACGTAAAAAATTATACGCCCTTATGCACGACGTAGTGTAATATCCACAGATGACCTCGTAAAAGGGTATTACCATTTAAGCCAGTCGATGAACTAAAGATCAATAGTATTAACTCAAATGGCCAAGACGTTATCACTTAAAGTTCTTCAGACTCGAGCATGAGTACATTTCATATATTTAAAGAAAACAATTGTAAACTTCATTTAAATAATCCCTTATGTTAATTTTTATAACCGTGTCAACATAATTATTGTTTACGATTCTAACGTGGATGGCAACCTTGAAATATTAAAATAAATTAAACAATTAATTTTACAAAGAATTTAATAAAACAAAAACGTATCTTGAAATCGATCATTAGATAAACAACGAAATTTCAACTGATTGCCGAATGAATGACAAAATTGAAAAAATATTATAATCACATACTGAGAAAAAAAAATCACCATAGAAAAAAAACATTTAAGTTAAACATTGTTAGAAATTACTAATACGAGATTTTTCTAAGAACCACTTGAATATAAGTCTTGTTTTTTTTTTAATCAAAATTACTATAGTCCAACTTATTAATTTTTATTGATAAATTAAAAGCAATAATCTTACTTTCGAAGGTTTCTTTTAACTATAAAAATACGATATGATAAAAAAACAAAGATAATAATGGGTGTCTACAATTAGGTACGTTCTTATGACTGAATACAAAATTAAAAGAGTAGACTATGCCGCTAGTAACTTTACGAGTATTCCCAGAAAATTATATGGCCAGTAACCTGATACGATATTTAACCGCAGACCACGTGTTTACAATAAAAAAAAATGGAAATATTAATATTATGTAATATAAGATAAGAAGCACGAAGGGTAGTAGAAATGGTCGGTCACAAAATAGAAAGTGTTTATATCTTGTACGTGGGTTGTTTGTCAGTAGGCTCAAAGAAACAACATATTTATTTAAAAATTATAATAAAATTCTGCTTTTCTCATAACAAACGATCAAATTAAAAACAATGATAAATTTTGTTGATTGTTTTGAATAATATATGAAATCGGTTGAGTTTTCATCTAAATGTATTAGACTACGGCTGACGGGTATTTTCTAGATAAAATTGTTTAATAATTTTATTATGTACATTTTTAAAAACTTAATATTTGAAGAGTACAGGAGAAAAACGGTAATTGACAATTACAGTTAAATTTTTAGGAGAGAATAATTGAGTTATAATTTCCTATTTTATTAATGACAACAAAAATAGACACTTAAATATTGTAAAAATAAAAACAGATTTCATTACATGATATTTGTTTATATGTTAATGGGTTATCAAATCATACCATAAATTAAAAATTGACCGACTTTTACCGTTCTTGTGTAACCTTCACTTAAAAATTAGTATATGATACTATTTTTCTTGTAATCAAATATTTGAAAATCTCAGTGTTTTAATCTAAAATGATTTTTTTTCGCTTACAAAAATTGAAGTAATTACGGCAAATAATTTCTTGAATTTCTAAGATTGGTTTAGGTTCACAACGAATGTAATGGAATGATCCAACTGCGAACGAAGCATTTTTACACAGCAGCGTGCAGATTTAATACCGAAAGATAAAAAGAAGCAGCTGGACACGAAACCAGCAAAAAGGTCGCCGAACCGGACACAAGAGACACCGCTAGTAATTTATACCTGCACGATGATGTAACGTTGCAATGCTAATTACCCGGCTCTGTGTAGTGACTGGAACAATGCGCGCTTATCTATCTTTAGCTTTACTGTAACTAAGAGAATGTAATATTATTGTTATGTACCTTGGCAATGAGACGGCTGCCACTTTGCGGTTACACCTAAGTAAGCACTTGGTTCGACTATTTGTTAATTGAACTTGACCATAAGTATGCATAAAAAATATACTCCCTAATAAATACCAATGTATTTTTTAGTATATTACAATAGGGTTCAATAACTGATGTTAAATTGACTTGCCGTGGAACAATATATTCTTCCGCAGCATCGATTTCGAATACGAAGTCAAAAATGACATAGTAAAATAATCAGTTTTAAGTGATTATACTCATTAAAGAAGTAGAAATTAATGACTACTGACATAGGATAAAAAATAACTTATTAAGTGACAGTGGTGGTAATTAGGGTTTGGTCTTGGATATATATATACAAAAATTTTTCACTTCACAAACGAATATGCAGATAAGACATTCATATCCTTCAATATTTACATCAGTGTAAAGTAACAAAATCAAAATTGCGGAAACTTACATAGATACGTATTTGAAGCATTCAAAATATTCGAGTTCATTTTTTTGGCAATAAGTTTTTTATTATTTATCGTTTAACAAAAAAACTAATTAAAACATATAATAACCGTCTGATATTACATAAAAACAGTTAATAATGCTAAACAAATTCAGGAAGTAAATAAATCAGAAAATAAATAAGTACGAATCAAGGTTATCAAAAAGAAGACGCCTAAATGGAAGTTCACAGACCATTACTGTTAAGGATGAATATTACTACTGTAACGAAAATCGCAAACAATTTTAATTACCCCCGTTTTTTTTTTAAATTCAATGACAAATGATAATAATCTTATTACTTATAATTATGAAATATTATTTTACAAATAATATATTCAACTTTACTATAATAATCAACAACAAAGTATTCATAAATTTATGGAAAGCTAATGTAACTATAAATTTTAAGAACACTTGTTTCTCACCAATTATGTTCTTTATAATTTTATTTAAAATGCACGGTCAATTTTGTTAGCGTATTAAAAGTAGAATCAAAGTTAATTTTAGAGATAATTCCATTTGAAAAAAAATAATTATATGTTGCATAGTTTATGTTATAATCAATAAAATATGATAACTTTCCTAACCTAACAATTTAAGACAGAATTTTATTGTTTTGCTTATGATCGTGCACTATTATTTAATTCGTTCTTTGTAGTAGCATTCATTTTCTAATTGTTTTCAATTTCGATTGAAAATTTTAAAAAAATACCACAACCCAAAAAAAATATTCAATGAGCCTAAACCACAATAATTATATGTCTTATTATTGTTGATGCTATAATTGGTATTGCTTTATTATTATAATTTATAGTCAGGCGTTAAATAGTTGTCGAGATGACTACGATTAGCTTAATTGTCAACTAGACAAATAGATTCTAGTTAACAATGATCACTCAAAGAACTAAAATACACAATTTACTCTATTTCTATAACGTCCAACTTATGATTTATTTGCACTGCAGCAACGTTTATAATTGACATAAATATAAAGAACTGATGCAGATGAATTAAACCACAATTTGCATTTTTCATTTTAAACGTTTCATTTAAATCCTTTTAAATTTGACTTGAGTGTTTGTGCAAAGTATTGGTGAATATAATGAAACCATATTTTAAAAGTATTCCTATGCATTTAAAAAGGAACGCTAAGTAACGAGTAGATGTAAAATGATTTGCGCGAAAAGCAATGTCGTAAACAAATTGCAGACTGCGTACATAATATGCCATTAAGGAAAATGAGTTTTTTGCAAACTTAAACGAAAAATATTAATGTATAGTTTAATATTTATTTGCAAATACTTTATTATATCTATAAAGAGATAAAATTCGAAATAGCATTTTTTTAATTTTAATGTTTTATCTTGTTGAAAACACAGATATTTTTTATTAAAACAACTTTTACATTATTTCGTAAAAAAGTTATTAAGATTATTTTTCATGAACGAAAAATCAAATTGAAATACTTTAAACTGTAAATTTAAGTTGTAATAAACCTTATTAAAAAAACGTTATTTATGAGAAAAATGTACAAAAAATAAAAATTATTATTCATATTTGGTAGTCATTTTAATGAAAATTTAAAACTAATCTGATATGTCAACATCAGGAGAATTATATTTGAAGTTTAAACTTTAGCTCTAAACTTAGTTCGAATTATTTTTAATAAATTTTAATACATTGATGTTTTAAGATATTTTTTGAGTTAAATTTTTATTTAAAAATTAAAGTCGACAAATCAATTTTTAATTTTAATCTTTAGAGATATAGAGATCTATAGTTATCGGAACCTTAAGAGGTTTCGGATAACTATAAAAGTATTTCAATATAATAAAAAAAAAAGTATACCAAAATATATTATTTAAATAAATACCTTGTAATTCTATTGGATACAACATTTTTACTTATTATGCAGTAGATGTAATAGTTATAAATATCTTACATAACAAAAAATAACATATAATGATATTTTTAAAAACATTTAAATAAAAAAATATAAAATAGTCATCGTTTGGGTTAAATATGTGTCATATTTTTGAATGAAAACAATGTGAATTTTTTTAAAAACTGAGAATTATTGAAATTGGACTTTTTATTTCCAAATAAATTAATTCTTATAGTATATTAATTTAAATCCAGAAAATAATAGGATAGATAAAACTTGATTGAAGATCATACATAATATAAGATAAAGGAATTCTTCTTACTAAAATACATGGTATGTATTTTTTGGAAAAATTATACTTGTACCCAATTAAAAAAAAATCTACTTAATTTTTAATTAAACTTAATTATAAGAAAAACGTTTCTAAATTATTAATGTATTTATTTAGTAGTTACAATTCAACTAAGACTTGTCATCCGTAAACCACAAATTAGGTAATTTTAACTTTTACATTGTTTTTGTTAAGTCTATCAAGGTTCAATGTTGCCATTGAAGAATAAAGTAAACAAAAAGTGGCTAGTCACAATTGTAGCACTTTAGGTTTAATGATTAAAACGTAAAGTATATTCAAACGTCCAGAGCGCAGTTTTCATAATAGTCGAACAGCTACAGTTATTTTTTAATAAATTTTTTATGTTTATTTCTTATAACGAAGTTTAAAGTGTAAAAATTATAAATAATGTGTCTCTTGAACAGTGTTAAAAGTAACTTCAGCATACCAAGACTTCAGTAGTGACAACATACACTTATCGGCTACACAATACTATGTATTTTTTTAGTTTTTACTCGTGGAGGGTATAAAAGACGACAAAACACAATAGCACTGGGGGCAGTGTGCTTCTTCCACACAGGCGTTGACTTTGGATCTTATATTGTAGGGTACATACACGTTGGCCAGGAGGGGTTACACGCATAAACACACTGGGACAGGTACTTCTCACGTTCGTTCAATACCTTATGTTTATACTCGCGTCTCCGACAATAGAGCGCTCACACACAAGACTGCCCCGGACGAGTCTCATCCTTCGCCAGTCGACTTTGGCACCTCCTCAGCCGCAGTTTTCCCGCTGTCGTCGTCGCCCGCACACGTATTTACACATTCACACGCACACTCACATTATGACTGCCGGCAAACGCATAGGAGGAGCGTTAGCAGTGATCGCAGCATTGTCATGTTATGCAGCAGGTCAGTAAATCAACAAATTATAACGTGATGATTAATAATGAAGTCTAAAATATTACTATTTACAATATTTTTGAATAATTGGAAATATCTGTAAAATAAAAGTAGCCAAATAGACAATAATTTTTTTCTACAGAAATAATGAGTTTTTCTAATGTTCGTGTAATATACATAATTATAAAATTGGGAAGAAAACAATTTTAATAAAAAAATTCTTACAAAGAAAAACGTGGAAATATTATTTCTTTTACTAAAAGTTATAGAAAAATCCAAGTTACTGATTTTTTTCGACAGTGATAATAAATTATTGTTAATGACCATTTATGATAAATGTATATACAATTTATTTACTTGACTATTAATAATGTTACATGTATAATAGTAACTCTTTTTTTTAATTAAAATATTCGCTGTTTAAGAAAACTGTAATAATAAGATAGTAATTGCAATTGATTCGTTCGAATGTGATGAGAGATTTTGGCATACAAAAAATATATTATGTTTTTACTTGAGAGTTTTATTGGTTTAAAATTTTAAAACGCTGAAGTGATAGACAACGGTATTATTTACGGCTTCTTTTATATGGTTTTATTTATTTAAACCCAACGTATAACACTGCACATAAACTCAGGTGGACTTCCTGTAAATGCACGTGATAGTGTTACCTATAAACGGAAACCGCATGGAATACATGATGACTGCTCCGAACAACAAGAAATGAGAAAAAGGTGTATAATTTTTTTTTTTTGAGACTATAAGACTTTTTTATTTATACAAATTATAAATAATTAATATATACTTGAGAGTATAAACAATTATATTTGTTGTGAAACGTAAGATTGAACTATTTATCATTTATTTACATTGTGTTTTGTTCTTATTGTTGTTGGTTGACTGTTAAATCTTTTTGATGGTTTTGAAACTCATTAAGTACGTATAAAATGTATTACACTGCGCAGAAATAAAACAAATTCATATTTCTCGAGACTGGTAAAATAACTATCCGGAACGTGTATGAGAGAGTCATAGAAGCGAATCGACTGCATGTTGGATATTTAATGTTTTTAATTGTATTGTTATAGGCATACATATGGCGCTATTGAAATATAATTCAACTCTTCAGTAATAACGATAATTGTCGTTATAATTGAATAATAGCCCGACACTTGCACAATTCACGTGTGGCGGAGACCGCATAAGACAATGTTCAGGGAGGTACTATGACCTTCGACCATAACCGTTAAAAACATTACGATTGTTTTAGCTATTAATACAAAAGAATAGTGCCTGAAAATACATATTATTACTCTCAAAAGTTTGAACAATAATAATGTAACGATTTTAATGGTGCGTCTGAAGATGTTACAATGATGTAATATATCTTAGAATTCTCTATAGGGGTCATTTTTTTCATGAAGAGACCGTAATTGAATATTAAATATATCCAAGTTGATTATATTTAAATTTGTTTTAACAAAGGCTTGTATAAAGAAAATAGTATTTCTAATTTGAAATTTCTTATTATGTTAATGAAAATCGTGGTCATAATTTATCATCACGGTATAACACCACAGAAACCATTATTTTCATTCCATCAATCAATCAAAAATTTAAATTATTCTTTACTATATGTTCTGAAATGTCGATCGTTTTAATTAAAATTTTTTAATTGGATGTAAGACTCGAGATTTAAATATTTTAAATGGGTATGATCTTGTTTAATAATTTTATTCATAAGTAATAAGACATTTGTATATATTTTATTGTGTTTTTGAAAAAATACATTTTGAAGAAAATTGTCTAGAGAAAGATATTTATCATTATTATATCAATATAGACTGAAGTTATTTAAAAACATCTATAGGTTTTATATTCTACTTTTAAATTTGAAAGACATAGTATTGTCAAACAATTTAATGGATAAAAGTGAGAACTGTCTAATGTATGTAGTTAATCATTTATGACAGGGTTTTTTTTGAAAACTTGAAAAAATTATACTTCTATTAAGTAGTGGTCATGTTTATGATAGAGTTAAACAAAAATATATTGCTCTTCAGGAGAATTAATAGTGGGTCTTTAGCCAAGGATATATCTGGGAGATATGAACTACCAAACAAAAAAAATACATTTTTTTACCATTTAAATTTTAAATTATAATAAAGAGAAATTATAAAATGATTTGTTATTATTTTGTTATAGTTAGCATCCATTTAACTTTTTTCGTCATTATGAGATAATTTAAAACTTTAAAATTAGTTTTAGGATCATAAATTTATTGAAACACATTCTTTTAACATAATTAACCTGTTGTATTATTAAATTTGATGAAAATTACATTTTAATGTATTATACAATATTAATTTACAGGTCAAAGAATTACAACAATTCAATTAGATGGAACTCAGTATTACATTAGTAGAATGAACCCATACTCAGCCGAGTTAAATTATTTTTTAGCTTATGAATACTGTAGATCAATTGGTTTACAATTAGCATCGTTTGAAACATTGGAAAAAACATCTTCAATAACAGATTTTTTAAAAAATGCAGGTTAGTAAAATACCATTTAGTTCTCTTATAAATACTCGAGGTAGATACCAACAAAATTCAGGCTGGGTTTAAAGTAAATAAATGCCAGGAAAATGCAGTGTTGTGCAAACAAAAAACAGATTCCGGTGAACAAATAATATACAAGTCTCNAAAAAACAGATTCCGGTGAACAAATAATATACAAGTCTCAACAATTATGTACATAACAATACCTGAGCATTGGAAGGTTTGTTCTAACGGATATTCTAACGAAAATACCAAGCACTGGATTAAAAACACATATGATTTAAAATTATTTCGTTAGTCCTATGTCATGATATTTAAATATTTAGATGAATACGGGACTGAGAAAGTGTCTGTTAAATGTTCATATATACAGAGTATTTATGTAAGGAAACAGGGCAATGTTACAAATAATTACAACAATAGAAACCCTTTACCTTACTTACTGAACACCTATATAATTGATAAATTAAGTATTGAAATATTGTATCGATTTTAAAAGTACACAGGAAAATAAGAGATTTAAATTATTTTTTTTTAATGAAACTGAAAAGGTTTTTAAAGTACCTACTTAGAATAAAAAAAATTTAGCTAAAATAGTTTTAATTTTCCAGTAAAGCATTCTTATGTTAAAATATACTGTGTGTGTTTAAATATTCAATAATATTTCTGTTGAATATTTAGCATGGAATATGTTTATTAAAAAGTATTCGGGTCAGAACCTTTCCATTCTTAATTATTAAAGTCATGCCATTATTAACATGTGTTTTCTAAAAATCGTTTCAAATGAAATTATTTTAAATACTGCTAGAAATTATCTCAGTTATGAGAAAATTTTCCTAGTTAAACGTGACAAATATGAGTTAATATATATATTTTCCCATAGTAATTATTTCGCATATTTTTTTATTTTAGGTTATCATAAATTTGACTATTGGACGTCTGGTAATCGCTTGGGTACCGATATGCTGATTTGGATGTCTACTGGATTACCTTTCAATACAACATTTAATCTTATGAAACAACAATCAGCAAATGGTGGCTTAGATACTGATGAAATGAGCGTTAAGCCTTCTTTACCTATAGCCAGGAAAAAGAGGTGAGCATAAATATTGCTTTTCGAGTTCGAAAATATTTGTGAAACTAGTATGTCTTTCAGGGGTGACAGTGGATCCAGAGATGGATGCGTAGCACTTAAAGCTCCAACAATGGATTGGGTAACTGCCGATTGTACAGATTTGAAGGATTTTATTTGCGAACAGACTAGGTGCTATTATTACAACTATGGATCAATACCAGTATCCTCCAGCCAGGGGTAAGCAGGTGAGAATTATTAGAATAAAACATCCCCGATCAAATTATTTTTAAAATTCCGAAGAATAATAAAACATTAATATTTTAATCTAAAAATTAAAAACATTCCATTGAAATAGACGTTTGTATGAAAATAAAAATAATTTCCTATTATAGTTTAACGAATTGAAGTAAAGACAGTAAAAAATATTTCAATTTAAATTAAACCTACTATACAGTAATTGTTATATTGTTTTGTATTTTTGAGCCCAAATAAACTCGAGTTTATTTAAACAGTTTTTCACATAATAATAAACATTATTTTAACAATTTCAGCTTTGGTATAAAATCAAGACCAACCATAAACTCGCTCTTTTCATCATCTCATCGCGAGGAATATTCCTCTTCCACTACTACACCTACAACTTTATCTTCCACGACTACTACAGAAAGCTACGAAGAACATAACAATGTTCAGAATACAGACAACTCTTTAATATCCCCTGGATCTGAAACAGAAGCCATAGTTACAGAATTACCTACCAGTACCACAGAAGCAAATTCACAAGAAATACAAACAACATTACAATATAATGATGAATCAGAAACGGTATCCGATAATTCGTATACCACTATGCTCCCAACACTAATTCAGCTGCATAATCAACAACAACAAGAAGATCACCAACAAGATTCACAAAGTGAAGATCAAGTTCAGCCAGAACAACAAGAAAGAACAAACGCATTTGCATTTGAATCTTTAGAAAAAGCGTTTGCTACATCGGTACCACATAAAATTCGAGCCACGAAGGATCTAGAACAATCAAAAAATAATGATAGTGAACAATTACCGTGGTCTTGGCCTAAAGATATTCTACTTCAGAAACCAGTTTTAAAGAAATCATCACAAGAAGTTTAGTTTCTACTTTTCATAATTGTAATAATTTAAATTTGGTATAAAGCTATTTTCCAAAGACATAACAAAAAAATGATTAAGTGTCTTAGTAATTTTACATCAAAATCAAAAACATTTAATAACTATCTTTTATAGACTATGTAGCTCTCTTTGATTGTCTGTCACCGTAAACCATGCTACAATTTAAAAATGTAATGTATAAATATTAAAATTGCACGTAGTAGCCCAACTGTCAAGTAGTGGTTAGTAATTCATTATTTTAATGTGATCATTTTATTTGTAATTAAAAAATATATAGTGAGTTATTAATACTTTAAACTATGAACAAATAATATTGATAGAATATTGAAAGAAAAACTTCATATCAAATTGAGTACACAATTTGTACTGTAATGTTATGATTTTTTTTTCGATTTTTATCAATTTATTCGAATTTTTTGTAAATATTTATATTTAATTTTTTTATATATAAATAAAATAATTATTGTACTTTTAATAAATTGGTCAAAAGTTGAATAAACTAAGAATAATTGACTCTTATTTTAAGATAATATTTTATAATGTTGATGTACTCACCAACCGTTAATTACACCTTCGACATTTAACATGGGTATAATTTTAAATACATATTTATTTCGTAATTTTTTTGCTGTAGTAAAGTCACTACACAAAAATTCAATTGCACCGTCAATTACCCATGACGAATTAGTCTCTCCTGGGTGAACACGTGAAGTTAAGTAGACGATTTCTCGATTCTATACTTACAAAAAACAAATTTCAATCAATTCTTAGAATTTACTACTATTAATTTTTAATAGTATTAATACGAGATCATTAAGTGTCTTAAATATATTTTATATAATTCAATGATTTCCCCCAATTTAAATATAAATATATTTTAACTAAAAAATAATTTCATAAAATTTTAAAATTCATAATTTTCATAAATACAAAAATATTTTGTGGCATTGTGTGTAATATTAAAATGACAAATTATAAAATTTTTAAGATTTTTTAACTATATATTTACTTTTATTGGTTGTTCATTATTTTCTTTTGAAGTAATAGTAAGAATTGGCACATCGTTATTGTTTAATGACCGACACAAAGCGTTTGCGCGAAATAAGGTTGTTTTAGAGTCTACAGAATTTTTCCACTTGAAACATTTGTACTAAAACATATTAATATTTTTTCAATAATACTGTTTAGATTAGTAAAATTAAAAAAAAAACGAATTTCATTTATTTACAACGAATAAAACTTTTAGAAGAAACTAATATTAAAATCAATATGAGAAAAACATGATGATGAAAGTTTTTGTCTGAAAAAAAACTATCATACGAGTTTTAAACTAGTTATTTATACAAAAACTATTGAAAAATCAGTAAATATCAAAGTGTGATACACTTACCAATAAAGTAGAATATGTGTATGGATAAATATAGGCTATATAACAAATATCTAAATCGTATGGAAATTGAATAGTAAATGATGCAGTCATGTAGGAACTTTGTTCTTTATTTTCATTCTTATATTGATTTACATAGTAACATATATCCGTGCCTGTATGTTTCCAACCTTCCTTACGCTCAACGTAACTTTTTACTGAAAACATTATAGGTTGCAAACCATGTTTGAATTGTGAACTCATTTTTTCCATATTTATTATATTGAACGCGTATTGTTTATTTGCCACCATATTAGAAACCTAAAACGAAAATGAAAATTTAATACTTAGTTTTTGAATAAGTAACTAAGAATGAAATATAAAACTCCAGCAAATTAATAAATACTTGGAAATAAAACCATTGATTGTGTGAGCTAGAATTAACGTCGGAGTTTAAAATTAAGTCATATTCAACTGGTCCAATCTAAAAATCGAAAATATTTTTAAAATAACGAGTGTTACATTTTCATAAAAAAATAATTAAGCTTTTACTTTCATAACTTTTCTTAAGTTTCCACTCTCAAAGCGTGATTCAAAATGCAAGTGATCAAAATTTGTTTTTACATTTAAATTTTGTTCATCATCATTTGATAATCTATAAAATTTTGAATAATCAAAATTTATTTTAGAAATTACATTTTATATTTTAACAATAGATGTTTATTTACGGTGAAATACGTTTTAGTTCTGCACAAACTCTTATTAAAAAATCCAAATCGTAAACAATTAAATTGTCGGTATCTTTTTTTTTATTGATATTTTGTTCTAAACAATTAATTAGTTTGATTCTGAAATGTATAAAATTTTATAAACATAAAACAAAACAACAGATCACATTTATATTAATTTCTATTATTTACCGAGAAATTTGCTCTTCATTGTTGTAGAAAGGCTCTAAAGGACTATCAATATCAACTCCAACCCAATCAGGATAAGCGAATTTCACAAGTGGTATAACTGTATTCACACGTTTTGCAATTGCTGAGTATGCAGTTTTGTGGGTTTGAGATGTTCGTAAATTATTTAATAATTTTATTTCTCCTTTCTAAATAATTAATTCCCAATGTACATAACGACATATACCTTATTATTTTTTTCAAACCACTTACCTCTAATTTCATATCTTCCGGGAAATTTGAATTACTTTGAATGCTTAAAAAATATTAAAATCAAACGAAAATTATTTTACATCCAGAGATTATTTTTAACGTGATACAAATATATGATATAAGTTAAAATAATTGTATTTCATTATACTATTAAGTAATTTTTATAGTTACCCATTGTATTTACTCGATTTTAATTTTACGAATGATTTAATCATGGACTTTGTCGAGTTTGCACTTTGAGCAGATCGGATCTCATAGGGTAAAATAGGATTTGTAATTTCTACATCGAATTCTTCAAATAATCTGCTATAGCTAAATTCACATTATCACGTTAGAAATGTCAAAATATAAAGTTTTCCATCAGATTATTTTTAATGACTTTTAAGTAAAATTTTTAATTGAAATCGACCATAATTATAGAAAATACGGCGTTGAAGATATGCAATTTAAGTACATTTAAGATTAATTATGGAAAATATAAATTAATCATTGAGATTTTTTCTTACATTGGTTTAAGCTCGTCAAGATTTTTCCAATAGCTTAACGATATTTCAAATTTTACTGATTCTGATTTTTGAAGTACCAAATTATCAATAGGCCCAAGTGAATTATGAACCATATTAATATCGCTTTCGTCATCACTTTCATCACTATCGGTTCCTTCATACTTTTCAATTCCTAAAAAAAATGTCATATCAAAAATTTGAAAACTTAATTTCATTATTATACAGTACGTTGTAAAAAAAAAGTTATAAAGTTTAATAAGTCATATAGCCATTATTTTGAATCTACACTATATAAAACTTTTAAAATAACTCTGAAAAACAAGTTATTTTAAATTAAACATATGCTAAGTATACGGTAAGGGATCATTGTTTTCATATTTTTATTTTTGATGCAAAGCTAAGAAGGTATTAATTTTATCTTAACGTGTTTTTATTTTTTTATGTCTGTCACAACTTTTTCTCAGCTCTCATCGAACCGATTTCTTTCAATGATATGTCAAAAGATCAGATATCGTATTTTCCTCGTTCCCCGTAAATGGGAGAAATCTCCAAAAAAATTATAAATTTTAAAATCGCTAATATTTAAATTTGTTCAATTTTTTTTACTTAAAACTGCCATAACTTTTTTAAAAATGACCAAATCAATATATTTTTTTTTTTATAGATGTCTTTCCTATCATTTGGTATATTTTTTTATAAATCTGACCCTTTACCTACCCACAGGGGGGGATTTAAAATGGCAACTTCTTCACATAAAATTAACTTTTGAAAGTGTTCCGGAAAGCCTGACACTTTTATATATATCTTAAATTAAAGCTTATATAATATACTTTATTATGGAAAAAAATAATTCGGACTTCATTTTGTTTTCATGGTGAAAACGAACATCAAAATTAATAATAAAAATACGATTATTGTAAAAAAATTCAATTTAATATTTTTAATTTTATAATGCTATAACTTTTTGAAAAATATATGGATCAATACAATTTTTTATGATAAATAATATTTATAAACCTCTTTCATTCGACATACTTTTTTTTTAAATAAAACCATTTTCCTTTATATATTTATATATTATATATATATATTACACTTATAAATTATAAAACTTGTAATCAGGATATAAATAAGGCAATAGGAGATCATATTGCTTTTGGAATAAACCACCAATTTTTAAATTATTTTTGAAAACCTGACCCGTTACTTGCCTACAGGGGTGGATTCAAGATGACAAATTTTTCATTAAAGTCAATATTTTCAAGTTAAATTTTAAAAATGTTTCTGAAAAACTGTATCATTTAAACATATGTTAAATTATAGCTTATGTTACGTAATATAAATTAAAAAAACAAATTTTGTTCCGACGACCTATCATCTATGAGGAAATGACATTCGAAGTTGAACAAATTTATAAAATATTTAATAAATAAATTAAAATTTATTATACATTTATTCATATATTACACTTACAAATCATAAAACTTGTAATCAGGATATAAATTAAGATATAGGAATATATTTTACTTTTGGAATAATCCACCAATTTTTTTAAATTAAACACTATCTACAGTTTTGCATCGAAGCATCTTTTATGATAATGATTTTAATCACTATCAGATATCATCTATACTGGACCCAACNAGCATCTTTTATGATAATGATTTTAATCACTATCAGATATCATCTATACTGGACCCAACTATGCCACGTCCCCACTGTGCTACCGTTTTTTTTTTTAAATGTACCCTAAAAAGTATAATTACTTTAAAACTATTTAATTATTTAAAACTATTTACCAGTATCACCAATCGTTGTGTCTCCTAAATTGAAGAAAAATGAAGATTGTGTAGAAGAAAGTGGTAAAATAATTTTGTCTGTGCAGACATTAATGATGGTGCATAACTTTGAAATAGTGGAATTGTAAATTTGATTAATTGGACAAGTACTGCCAAACGTATACAAAACGCTTAGTCGATTTGACTTTTTCAACCCAATACGTCCGTTATCTAAGATAAAATTTGAATAAATTTTTCTAAGACTGAAAGTATAAAATTAGTAACTCACGAGTGGCTGATATATGTACAAGGAAGTCAAGAGCAGAAGCAAATATTTTCCTTTTCGTTTTATTTGAAGAGTAGTTTTTTGTATCAAAAATGTCTAATACATATTGCATTAGACCTCCACGGACTAGACGGTCGCAGGTCTCTTCGGTAACTATAATTCAGAAAATGCATACCTAACTTATAAAAATAAAGTAATTATAGATATTATTACCTTTTTTACTTAAATTAGCTAAAATTACAATGAATATCCATTGTTTGTTTTTCTTTAGATGTTTTTTATTTTCTCGGAGAAGTTTTTCCATCGTTAAACAAAAATTATCTTTCAAGAGAATACCAACAATATTTTCTAAATAATTATAATCAGAGAATCTTTTTAAAATGGCATTTTTTTATGGTAACAGTACAATTTTCAAACCATTTTTTGTGATTGTTTTAAAACATAACATTAATGAGGTCGATAATTTTATGTTCTTAACATTATTTCTTAAATGTTGATGAAACAGTTTGGCTACACTTAATACTTCAGCATGTTTCGAAAAATTATTATCTGTTAACGTTTAATAATATGACGCATTTTTAAATTTGTGGATGTTATCAAATAAAAAGTATAATTTACCTTTTTGTGACAGTTCGCCTAAAATAAAAAACAGTTCGTTTACGAGAGTATCACTCGTACCTACAGATTTAGATTGTAGTTCTACTATTGATTTCATGAATATTTTTGAAGCATTTAATTTTACCAAATGTTTCAAAACGGCCATTCTTATATTTCCTTGATGAGCACACAATATTAAATTAGTGATATAATTTTATTATACGAATATATTTTCGAGTTACCAGATTTTGGAGCAACGCACGCACGAATAACACCAGCTAAATATGTACATGTTGATTTATCTTTTGATTTCTGAAAAAATAAATAAATTATAATATAGTATATTATAACATGAAATTTTATACTTGTTTAAAAGAAATCTTAAATTTACATAATTTAATCTTATATTTTATGAGTACTGATAAATGTATTAATTATTATACCTATAAATTAGACATTTGTTTTATATTTTATTCGTAAGACAAATATTTTTAATTCTTACTAATATAATGAAAAAGATAATTGGTCTGTATCAAATCTTTAGTAAAAATAATCTGTTATCTTATTAATATTAATGTATAATTTTAATTATTATTCATATAATAAATTCGATAAAATCATTTGTTTTTTAAATTTTAATAACTAATTCTACATAGATGTACAAACTTTGTAAATTTAAGAGTATATTTTGATTTTTATGTAAAAATAAATTAAGTATTTAACATTTATTGATCAGCACTGTTATTAATAATCGGATAACTTGATAATTTAGTCTAAATACAAAGCCAAACTTGTTTTAATTAAATATTAAAAAACATTTGTGAATAATATAATGCTATAACATTATAATATTTAAAATTGAACTTTTGCCTTTAACCAATAGGTTTAAGTTAACAGCTTATATTGAATTACAACAAATGTATTAAACAGTTTAAAATAATATATTGATGTTTTATACACACTATGTTATATTTTTAAAATATATAAATTTTTAGTATCTGATTTATTATAATGTAGATTCACAAAAAAGTATAGATTCAAGGTTTTTAGTTTTCATTAGTTATCTAAAAACCAACATGAAATTTACATTGCATAATGCAATTCATAAAAAAAATAAATTTAATGATCTTGTTTTTTTCTTTTAAAATGTTCATTTTTCGATAGATATAATAGATATAACAATAAAGACTATAATAAACTAATTTAGTATAAAACAATAAAAAAGATCATTAGTTATTAAATTATATTTTAAATCAATCGACAACAGTAATAATTTTATTTCCAACTTTAATACAATTTATTTTACTTTTGTTAAAAGTATTTGAATACTTAAGTAGTTTAGAACAGTGAAAATATTGAAAATAATTTTTAGCCATTAATATGTTTAATTTTGTTATATAAATCTGTTTAAAAGCTAAATAGCAGCAATTTTAAATTAAAAATCTTGCTAATATTTACTAAAAGCAACCTATATTTATTAATTTATTTTAAAGTTTTATTTTCTGTACTATTTATAAAAATAATCTTCTTTAGAATTCACTAATATTATTATTCTATCATATAAATAAAAATTGGAAAGTCAAATTGTCGTAAGATAGCTAATAATTACAATTAAACAAATAACTATTATGTTTTTTCGGAAAAAAATTTGGCTATTTCCCAAATATATTACTTTTATATAGTTTTTGAGCAGATGGATGAAAGCCAAGGATTGCAAGTTTCCAAAAACTTACATCAACTATTTAAAATTTTTCCAGTTAAAAAAATATAATTAATGAATTCGTGATTATATCTAAATAATGTAGTTATATGATCATTTTTTATTTTTAAATATTTTTTATAACACTGTAACATAAAAACCTATCTATCTGTCATTGTTCAAGGTCAACTGGTTTTTGTGTCATAATACTGTAATTTAGAAGAAATGTTTAATCAGTAAACTGTCCTTCCTATTAATATCTGTGTAAATATATAAGGTATATAGTCGTTCATGATTTACTTGAAGAACATCCGTTAATTACACATATTAGTCAAAAAATATAAGTAGGTTTATGATACTCGTGTTTAAATCAACTTAAATAAGTAACTCAAGGTACACTTTCCGCCAAAGATCAGGAAAATTAAAAAAAGTAATCGTTTGTACAGTGTTTGAAAGACTATAAGTACAAAAACTTTATAAATAATTAAATATTTACAAAATGTTTTCTTTTCGGATGTCATATTTTTGCACAAATCTAAACAAGTCATTAAACAGTGATTCACTTATGAACCACTTCAAATCGAAAAGCAATATTAATATTTTAGCTTCGATGCGAAGCTGAGAAGGTATTAATTTTACTATGTGTTTTTTTTTTGTCTGTTACCACTTTTTCTCAGCACTCACCGAACCGATTTCTCTCAACGATATGTTAAAAGATCACAAGTCGTATCTAGTCGAAGACATTACCCTCAAAAATTAAAAAAAATTCCCTCGTTCCCCGTAAATGGGGAAAATCTCCAAAAAAATTACAAATTTAAAAATCACTAATTTCGAAATTTTTTCAATTTTTTTACTTAAAACTGCCATAACTTTTTCAAAAATTAACAAATCAATAATAAAAATTACAATTTTTATAAAATAATTCTTTTTTATATTTTTAACTTAATAATGTTATAACNTTTAAGATATATATACATATATAATGGCTAGTGTACAAATGTGTATATGTTATGACTAGAGCTCGGATGTTTATGACTTTGCATATTTTTTTCGCGCAATATGAATTAAACCCAAGTATGATATAAATTTGATTCATGAAGTCTAGATTACAATTACGTTAACTTATTTTGCATATTTTTGCATATTTGACGTTTTTGAGCATATAAATGCATATATTGATTATTTTTAGAAATAGTAGCATATATTTTATAATTTTCATTAAAAATATTAAAAATTTGTTTTTGATGAAGATCCGTAGAATACTATGAACAAAAGTAATATTACTTTTGGGATTTAGATATTTATAAATTCGATAATCGATATTAATATATATATACTGTAAAACGCCGATTAATCGGACGCCAATTATCCGGAACGCCGAATAGACACGTGCGAGCTTCATTTTTCTAAGAATTAGGTTATTTTAATTAAATTTCTTTATTGTTATTAAATTTCTTCATTTTATATCATCTGTGCGTGTTTTCCTCTGTAAAATATGTAAGCACATGATTGGTTATCCGGAATACCGTTGGTCTCAATTAGTCCCGTTAATCGGCGTTTTACTGTATATATATATTCATACAAGTAGTAAATACGGCGGGTGCCATAGGTTTTACCTATATATCGTAAATTTATGAGATAGCACGCGTTTTATTTGATATATATCAAATATTTTGTTGACATTTTAATATTCATTGTGTAGTGTTACAAGTTTAGTGTAA